CTCAAATAATAATTTGATAAAATACTAATCACAGTAATTTTCGTAAGTATCGGTTAACTAGCTTTTGCCCGCGACTCTGTTTGCATGGAATAGTGACTTTCTGAAGATTTTTGGTATAAAAATTAAGTCCTTTCTCGAGTTCCAAACTATGTCTGTACCAAATTTCACACAAATCGGTTCAGTGGTTTAGGCGTAAAGAAAAGACAGACAGATGACAGATAGTTACTTTCGCATTTATGATATTAGTTTGGTATTGATAGATATTTCCATGGCTTCTTCTAGAATCTCCGTTCCGAAAAAGTTTTTATCAGAGCGACGTTCTGATATCTTCTGGGAAAAGATATTACTTCGATTTTCGAAGAATAGAAACCATATGTTTTTATTCACTTTGATAATAATAGTGCTTATAAACCATTGCCTTGTAACTGTATTAAACAGTTCGTTTTAGTAACTAGTAAAGCGCTAAGAGGCGGGGTGGTTGCATATGCAGCGTAGGGGCGAGGGGTGTGGCCGGCGTGCTATTGGTTCGAGCTCGCTGATTGTTGCATAACGTACGAGGGTTATAACCTGTATAGATCATCAAGGTCGACTATTGAGGAACAATGGTTTGGTCTAGCTTACATTCATCCTGTTTCTTACCCTTGGTTCAAGGTGGTCCAATTACAGTTTCCGAAATATTAATTTTTTAATAATTAAAGTAAGAAATTGATAAATAGATACTTATACACTCCCGGCTAACACAGGTAAAAACCTTCATTCGGGTATTTTTTACCATTCTGCAGATTTACTTAAGGCACTTAAGATGGAATTTAAAAACATTATTTTGGCTCTACCATGATTAGGTATACTTATACAAATAGTATCTGCGTCCTCATATATCATCTGATCATATTAATTTGTAATGAGGTATAAAAAAAATGGTACATTCGCATCACGCGTAAACAGGTAGATCGATTCCAATAATTCTTTACCTACTGTAATAATCAGGATCAGGAGACGGTTTTAAAAAGTTAGGGAAAAGTCGATTACAAAATGAGGAAGTAGGAACCCTTTCATTAAAAAAAAACGCTATTTTATACATTAAGAAACAAAATCCCATTGCAGGGTTACTTATGGTTTTGGTATAAGCTAAAGTAGTTAAGCAGAATCTATATAGCTACTGTTACATCATTCATTGGTCATTTGTTGTGGGTAGAAATAAGAGCCCCGCCCAGCGTTATTTTTGATACAAAGTTACTTATATCAATAATGACGCTTAAAATACACATAAAATAAGTGCTGATACGCTTCTTTTCTGAAACTGTCAGAAACGTAAGTACGAATAAATAGTCAATCTTTTTTTCAAAGACTTGTCCCATTTTCACCCACAAGAATATGGTCTCGTTTTTGCTAATTCAAAGCCATCTTTGACGAAGATTGATCTTTCAGGCGACCAACCGCAACTCGATCAACATTCTTAATTTAGCGATGTTTTTTTTTTCTGGAAAATTTATATCTGAAGGTGAAGAATAACAGCAGTTGGTATTGTCGTGAGAATGGGCAAAGCCACATCCATATTTTTTGCGATTCTTTTCTCAGTTTGAACGCAAAGCACAGCGTTAACAGGTTGTATACATGCATCGAAATGCTTCCAGAAAGCTATTTTGTTTACAAAGTTTGTTTCCATCTTCACAAAAATACCTATTTTGGGTATATTTCATATCACCCCTGACAATTACGACTGGATAAAGACAACGCATGCTTTGTTGGCATTAAACGTTCATGTGTTTCTTTTTGTTATTTCTTTGAAGCACACCACTATTTACATTGAAAATCCATTTTGTTTATTTATTGATACACTAGCTCTTACCCGCGGCGTCGCTCCCGTCATTTGACTACCTACCTTACTCTACCTACCCTACTCTACTTACCCTACCTACCCTACTCTACTTACTCTACCTACCCTACTCTACCTACCCTACTCTACCTACCCTACTCTACCTACCCTACTCTACCTACCCTACTCTACCTACCCTACTCTACCTACCCTACTCTACTTACCCTACCTACCCTACTCTACTTACTCTACCTACCCTACTCTACCTATCCTACTCTACCTACCCTACTCTACCTACCCTACTCTACCTACCCTTCACTACCTAACCTACTCTACCTACTCTATCCTATGTCCTTCTCCTGGCTCTAAACTACCTCCCTGCCAATTTTCAGCTAAATTGGTTCAGCCGTTCTTGAGTTATAAGTGGTGTAACTAACACGACTTTCTTTTATATATATAGATTATTTTCATTTCAAAGTCGTCGTTTTGATAGCGCGCAATCGAAGTGATGTCACGGACGTCATCCAAATAGAACTTAGTCAAGTTAGTTAGTGCCTTTTATACCCCTCTGCCACCGTTACGTGAGTTACGTGAAGCATATTCTATTTAGAAGCATTCCAAACAGACGTAGCGCCATTGGGTATTTATTTCGTGATATTTATTTTAGACTATATACAAAGATTCGTACCAAGTACCTACTTGTTTAAGTATAAAAAATTGCCGTTAAAACAAGCAGAATGCTTCATCGTGAAACACATTCTAATTCTCCTTTGAGATTTAAGAAACAAGATATCGCGTCAGCCATGATGCTGCTTAGGGTTAGGGTCAGTTAGGGCAAACAACCGTTGGTAGCGAGATACAATGAACTTGCCTAAAACCCGATCGTCAATTAATTCGTAATTCAGAGGGGTCCTAAACTGAATGTGCCACCTTTAACGTTCTTAACGATCACTTGATATTATTACTTGACCTAAAGTTTTTCGAAAGTGTCAACACATACCTACTTAATTAGTTTTTATTATTAAATAGCGATTAATGTTTAATTAAAACGTCATATTGTTTAAATGATTTTAAATGAACTTGTCAATAAGCGTCAATTAAATGAACTAAACGCGATAAATTGACAAATGGGTTTAAACGGAATACCTATAATTCTAGCTAAACTAAAATGTTAATAAATATGTACTCACTGCCTCGTTATTAAATAATAATAATTTAATTAAAAGAATCGCAAAAATATGAGACTCCTTACAAATTAACATAAAAGTATAGGTGGTAGGTAATAGTATGTTTGCACATAATTATTTTGTGACCGAAATAGGTGGGTCCATGTTGCAGTAATTATTATTAGACTATCAATAGTAGACCGAGCCTCAACTACTTAGTTGAAATTAAATTGCGGTAGGTAACGGATAGGTAGGTAAGTATAATATATGATCTGCATCTTACCGCGACGTGTATTGTGTGGATTTATTACCTAGCAGTTATAGTGAATCGTGGATGGATTGGAGGTCAAATTAACGCCCGCGGCCTAAGCAGCTGGTGTAGTCCCGAGCCGACACAATGGGAACGTCGAGTCGAGAGTATGTTGTAATGTGTATTTTGGACATGAGGGGTTGTCTCCCCAAACGAACGCCAACGCGACGGGGCGCACAGCTGCCTTCAACGTTAGAAGAACGTTAGATCCCCAATGGTAACACGCTTGAAATATTTAGGCATTGAATTGCAAATAAAATATGATACTTACCTACCACCTTACTGCGACAACTAGTAGGTATACGGGTGTACCTATTTACTTATAATAATGCATGTACCGTACTTAGGTACCTTTTCTAATTTAATAAATATAATAGGTACCTACCTAGGTGAAGGTACTTCAAAAATTAGCTACCCTGCCTATTATAAGCTGCACCGAGCAGTGTTATAAGCGTGTGTATTAAGGTAGGTGCGTTCGTAAGTAAAATAATGATTCATACAATGACGTATATGTATTGTATGTATATATATGTAGGTATAGCGTCGGTTTAGTGCAAGCGTTCTGGATTGAGCTCGTTGTTGTTTAGTGGGCTCGTTCTCGTCGCTCGTACGCACGCATCGGGTATACAACGTCGTCCCACCTAAAAAATCGGTCAATAAGTTGTAAATATTTCAAAGCCGAAGTTATCTAATACTGTCCAATCAAGTTAAATATTTGATCCAATATTAGTATAGGGGTGCTGAATTTTTACTTACATTATTGATTTTTTTAAGAACAGACGTAAAATATAGTTAGCTTTTTAGTTAGGTACTCGATCAATCGCTGATTTGGAACGCGTTGCGGAGTACGGTATCACTTGGGCTTACTTTAGCAACTCAGTGCCTTAACCCTCGTTTAAGGGCAGGATAAGCTATTTGAAGGGCGTTTTCTCCTTGGAGCTACGTCTCGTCTACTTGTAATTTTAAGGTGAAGCGGGACACGAGGCGGGCGACGCCTGTACCAGACGAAGTAGGCGGTGTCGGGCGACCGCCCTCCGCGGGCCCCGGCCGAGCGCTGTGGAAAACGCATGGGCGCGGGGCGCCGTCACACGGACCCAGTAACAAATATACTTCACGAACCTGTTATCGCTCTTAGTGATTGACCATCAATTCCATGTTGTCGATAATATTTATATTTCATTTAAATATTTAGTTTTAAAAGACATTATGATATTAATGATCTGTAGGAAAACACCCCTCTTTGGTTAGCATTCTGACGTCCATTAGAAATATTATAAGCTCTAATTACAACAACTATCTAGGAAGTAGATGACCCGTCATAAGAAAGTTGTGTAGTTTATTATAAACTATGAATTATATTAAGTAAGATCCTAACGCGTTTCATGCCTCTTATCGATCGACATAATTATAGTATTCATGTTTATTAATGTTTTACTCGATTTCCTTAATAACTTATTCATGCAGCAGGCTCAATTCAACCTTACTTTTTTATATTTCTTAAAAGTAATTTAGTTATGCCCATATTAGTTACGATTTATCTTTACTATCATTCTAGTTTCCGGTTAATCTCTATTTTGCTTAATTCTATCAATAAGATTTCTACAGTGAGATCCCGAAAAATACATAAATAAACGAAATAATTAATTTCGACAACCTAACCAACACTAGCTGTTGTTACACTCGATATAACTTTAAGATCGATACTTGCGCTTCACTAAGGTGTGGCGTTCTCTCCCCGCGGGCCCCGGGCTCAGCCACGCCCAGCGCGCGCATTCTCAAACAAAATCCGCAGAAAATGTTGTGCGAAGAATCGAGTAGAGTCTGCGTCGTTCGTTTCGTTCAGTCACGCACGTCACATCAGTTAGGCAGCTCAGTTGAGTAGTGATCTCGATAGCCGACGAACCGTACGCACGGCGCACACGTGCCACTCGCGCCCATCCCTTCTCCGCACCGCACTTCCCGACCCGAGCGATTTCGCCGCTCGCTCGGTGACGCCACCATACGTCGCTACTCCACCGACACCGCTTGTGCTCGGTGTCGTTCCGTACGGAGCTTTGCTATATCATACTATATTATGTAATACGAAAATAAACAGCTCAAAGCAACCACGTGTGCGCGCCGGCCGGCTTACATAAATTTGTTAAAAATATCGTCACTCACGCTTCGAAATTAGGTACCAGTCTAAAAAGACCATTCCATTCTTAACCAGTATTTAAAAAATTACACGATATTATCGCGGGTTAAAAAAACCATAAAAAGTGAAAATGTCTAATTCTGTGGAACAACAATTTAGCGAGCTTAGTTTGTCACAAGAGGACCATGATCAATATGAACCAGAAGATCACCAAGACCAAAGGTTAGTAAAAGTGCTCTAACAAAATCTTACAATTATTTTAGTACACAATAGCTATCTTCAATTGTTTAATTTTAAAACAGGATTGCTGTTGTCGTATTTGTTACTAAGAGTATAAGTTAATTTCTGTACGTTAATTACTTTAAAGAAGTAATAATGCGAAGTGATTTTGTTAGTTAGGGATGCGGTCTAACTGGTTTATTTTTTGCACAAAACATTCATTTAGATGGAAAGACACTAGGTACTGAATTCCAATGCATATTATCATTATGAAAGCTTAAACAATTTGTTTATCTGTTCCTGATAAAACCAATTATTTCCAAATCTCGACGGGCTGATTGATTGGTTATCGGGAGACGAAAGATCGCAGGATTTTGATGAGTTTTTAATTAAAATTTTACCAATAACTTTAACTGTATGAACGCAATTTGACGAGGTAGGTATAATGTTAAGTAATGCATTATTTCCTAGCCTATCATCATCTTAATAATACTAGATTGTACTTACATACCATTGGATATAAAAAACGGTGGGGGGGGTTCACTTTTACGTGTAGTTACTTACCTATATCTTATAATTAATCGTAACTACAAGAGTCAGGTACCTATTTAAATTGAAACTTAATCTTAAATATAAGAAGCGTTTTGATAATTTACAACGCCCCACTTTCACAACCCGTTACGCAGTGATGAGTGGTCAACATCAACTATCATTTTCAGGGTTTCGTACAAAACGTAAAACAGTACAACGTTCTAACGGTCAAAAAGAACCCCTAAGACTACATACTGACTGCGGTGAAGAGGGAGTAAATAAAAGTTACAATTTTATGAGACGGGGCTAAAACAAATTATCGATGTACAATTTTTTCTACTTGTATCATCCCCCAATTTTTGAAGTAAAAGGGAACGAGGAGTTCCTTTTTTCAACCCTCTGAATGTGGTGGGGGTATGTTACCACCACCAAGATCAATGTACGACGTAACGACCAAGATATTTGAGTTAATGCAATTGTTATTTATCATTCCAAGTACGACAACATAATGATAAATATAAGGAACCAATGAACGTGGGTGGGACCTAACAAGAAGCATTGTATACCTAAACAACTTGTATAGATATTAGAACTAAAGTAAAATAGATTAATTTCTGATTTCGCCGGCATTGCAGCAAGGCAGGGCCACCTAATGTTCTCTGTCCATAAGAGACCCAACCGGGGTTGAATATTCCCTGACTTTGCTTTTCGCCAATAAAATCCCTACATCCCCGCAATATCTGCTGATTAATACGGAAGGTTCCACTTACTTAATTTAACTGTAAAACAAATTTATACCTAAGGCTACCAACTGACCTTCTGCTTGATTATTCTCAGGGTGTATAGATTTCAGAGATAATAATTCTGTTGCCATTTTTAAGTGTCCAAATAGTAATTAAGCTTTACAGGGGACTCAAAGAATAAACGTGGTTTTAACTTCCTTGACATAACTGCAACAGGTAGTTGCATTCTCCTGAAATCACCCAATATTCAGTATCTTAAAAGTAACAAAACTAGTCTTCAATGGCAAAACTAAATTGAAGCCGTGACTGAGTAGGATACGTATTTTGTTTTCTTTCACTCTCGCTCCCGGCACTAACATTAGATTGAAAGATTTGAGCGTAAGTTAACGTACCTACTTTCATATTATGTGACAATTATAATGGTTATACCTAATTATTTACATTAAGCGCCTACTTCACCATCTTCGTACAAGTTCTCTCTATAAACTTACATACAAATTACGTTGTGTATTCACATATTTTGTATAAGTGAAACTGAAAATAAGAAAACTAACGTTGAATGTAAGAAATATGTAACTGTGTAATTTAAAATGTATAATAAAAACCTATGCACGCATCCAGTTTCCTATTTTCTGGATTTGTGTTGTGCATAAATCTATACTAATGTTATAAAGAGGTGAAATTTGTAAGTTATCTAATTGTAATTTGTAAGTTGTTGGGGGTAGTCTTTGGAACCACTGGTCAGATTCCCAAAATTCTTTCACTTACTGATAGCTACAATGTTCCCGAGTGCTGTAGAAATGAAGCCGAACAGTCAGTGGAACCGCGCGGGAGTAGCTATAATAAATAAATACCAATTTTACAATGCGTAAAAGGGGCATCCTGCGACAAAACTATTCTGACTACCACACACGGTATGAAAAATACCAAGAAGCACTCTTCTGTCAGTCCCTCAACAAGCGCAACTATTCATTGCAACAGTGACTCTTCCTACTCAGCAACAAAGTTATATCCTTATCGGGTAATCGCTCATTACCTTCCCGGTTCACTTTTTTTTGCTGCCGCTTCTAACGCGCAACTGTTGTCTAGTGTGCTGTCATGTTCTACCAGTGGCCCGTGGCGCAAGGGCTGCTTGCTAGCTTACCTTAGCTACTGCTCGTTCATACCCATCTTACTCATCCTACACAGCTAAACCACAAAATATTTTATCTTTCAAAACGACTAATGCTAAAAAAGACAGGCAACGTACTCTTCCTCTTCTGGTTTGTTGCTTCCACATAAGCGGCGTTGCCTTCTGACCTCAGGTTTACAGTCTGCTCGTCCCATTCTATAATAAAAACGTGAACATTTGCCACTAATCTTAAACAACCTTTTATCGAGAGGATTATGAATTATCTGAAAATCCTTATATCGCGCCCTGTGGGGATCGAGCGGGAGTGACACTTACCGTGTAATATATAGATCCAACCTAATGTTATAAATGCGAAAGTAACTCAATAATTGGTATATTTTCTGTACAAAATAAGTCTCTTTTTTATAAAATTGTATTTCATTTAGTGATGGAACGGGGGGAAGCTTGGAGCGCGATTACGTCATGCACTTTTTACTTTCGATGCGTTGTAAAGATCACCACCATCATCATCATTATCAAAGAACAGGAGAAAAGAAGCAAGTAAATCGGAGAGGACCCTAGGTTTCGTGAATGGTACCTACATACATAATTCATAATTTTAGTCTGTCTGAAGTCCGTTGTGTGTGACAAAAGCGATGTGTATAAAGCTATCTCTAATTACACAAGATTCGTGATATAAATATAACCGATAGACGTTACCTTGTACAATTGTGTGCACTTCATATTAATTATATCATTCTTATTTTTTTATTCTTAGTATCATGACATACTATATGTTGGGGGATTAAAGATGTAATTGCGTGCCGTACAGACAGCAATAGACGAAATATAACAATGAATAAAAAAAACAATAAAATACCATTATTAGGTACTTACATTTCAAAAGGCGAAATGCTTTGTTTTTTTCGGGATTAACCTCTAAACATTCTGCGGCTTTATCGTGCTTACGAGTAGGTATGCTATGTAGGTATGTACAAGTCGGCGCAGTTGTTGCGGTGGACTTTGCACCTGCCGGCAGGTGGTTCAGCCCTTTCCAGTGCCACGTGCCGCTGCCGCTATGTTCAGATTACTTACCAACTGTTCGTTTTTACGAAAGTTTTATTTAAAAAAATCTGATTAGGTACAATGTGTAAAAATGTATCATTACAATAATAATTTACCTGGTGGAAAAAATTTCAGAAGGTTTAAGTAATAAATTCATTTCACCCAATCACACCTACTTTAAATTTCCCTTGTTTAGTTTAACATTAGTCACTAGCTTGCAAATACCTGATGCCCTGCCTCAGACGCCCTTGCTTAGCTGCACATACCAGCTGCTTCAGAAAAAAATAGATAGGTAATTTAAGCACCACACTATTTTACCTACTTCGAATAAGGACTAGGGGTGTTAATTTTTTTTTAATTAACGGCTAAGGTATATTTTATTTTATTGCGTCAAAACAAAATGCAAACTTTGAAAAGAAAATTTTATATGCTAGTGAATAAGTGAATGGCATAGATTGTTTTTATCAGAATGCGGGCGGGCGGAGGGCGGTACGGCATTCAGTCGTTTTGCATTGCAAGTCCGTTCTGAGCCCGCGTCGCGTCCGTCCGCTATACTGTCGCTACTCAGCTCGGTTCGAGTCGGTTCACTCATTCTTCAGTCACACGGCAACACTCGCAGTTGCGCCACAGTTCGTGTACGAATTGGCTTGGTTCATCATTCCTTCCGGTCGTTTTATACATTAAATATACTTCATTTATTAGGAATTGTAGTACACTTTGTTGTTTTTTTGACTTGAATCGGAATCGCGGTGGAAGTGGTGAAATCGAAAGCGTTGGGTGACAAACCACATCAATCGCGTTGCTGTGTTAAGTTTGACATCTTTCTTATGGAATACAGAATGGCGAAATATCGCAGGTATGTTAGTTGTAAGTTAAGTAGAATGTCTTGTCCAAAGGAATACACGCCCACATTATCAACAAGATCTCTGTTGGATACGTTTTGTTACGATAACTAAGTGAAGAGATAGGATTACTGAATGTCCCTAATGCATATTGACATAGTTTTTCAAAATGCAATAAAGCTTTATGATGCATCAATAAATTCGATGCACATGAACACGTGGTGCGTAAAGAAAATGGCGGCGCACAGAGCTGCCGCCCCGCCGGTATTACGGCTTGTCGCGGCGCGTTCATGAATCACTGATACCGAACGTGCCGGCACGGCATCGCTAGCTTTCGTCATGATATGATATGGGTTTATTGATAGTAATTTGTACATGTATAATACAATTAAATGTAATACAATTAAAATATACAGGGAATGTTAGGTCGAAATCAGTATTTGTTTGTAATCTGGTAGTAACACAATCTACTAGTAATAATCACTATATTACTACGTAGATATGTAGAGTAGTAAATTAGTAACGTAATTCGAAAATTGTATACTTACGTACCTCTACGTACGCCAATCTACAAGTACTATTTAATTACAACTGATTAGTTTTAGGTAAATCTACAACCAGGATGACATTAATTACCAGTTTAAATGTAGGCATATGCCAGGTTTCCAGTTAGGTACTATACTCGTGTATATAAGCAGTAATTTATAATTGAATTGTGTAGTAGTTCATATCCATATTTTAACCCAATTTTTTGCGAATATGACTAAACAACAACAACAACATAAATTAATAAGTTCCGAGTTACTTGCGTACAAAAGGTACAACTATATATTGTGGTTCAATTTTATAGTGTATATACATAGATATTTTATTAAAGTGAATTTGAACCAATTACGTGCTCTCAAACAGGTTTAGACGACACCCCAGAATATTGAGCCGCCTTTTTGGACGAACGGCTGAACTTGCCAAGAAACTAGTTAGACGGCTCTGAAATTGTTGACTCGTTCTGGTTACGCCTGTTTAAATTGCTATGCATTGACAGGTAATTATATATAAGCAGTTAATGCTATTGTTTAACGCTATTTCTAGGATAAATATAAAACCAAAAATAGGTATAATTTTACTGTTTCAAATATGCTCCGAAATTTATGGCGTGGGTGTTCATGATTCGTAAAAGATCGTATAACTAAAAAAACCAACTCTTCATACAACATTCAACATATCGTAAAAATAGAAATGTGCATTAAAAAATTGACAAGGCTGCTACATACGAAAACAAAATACATTGGGAATTGAATTAAAAAGGTATATGTGCAGTCAAACAGCAGAACTATTTGCAGACGTGCTTTAAAGTGTCTAGAAGTTGTCTTAACACTCAGTTTCAGAATTGGCTTATCAATTCTTAATCAATTGACTAATGTCAGTTGCTAGGAGATACATTTTTGAACGGTTTTACAATCATATGTATAATAATTTAGGGATGTAGGGATAGAGGCAGCGACTGTGACTGTTATCCTGTACTGTGATATAGAACGTAACCTTAAACAAAAAAAAAACAACTTTACAATCTGCTAATACTGTCTTTACTATAACTGCTTTTCGTTGGTAAGTGGTATGCACCATTTCGCATTGTCGGATTCCAAGACATAAAATGAATTATTGATTTGACATCCCATTTAGAAATAGGGTATTCAAAATTTAGAAATAGGGTATAAAAATAGTTTATCATTATCAGCTACATGCATAACTATAACCAAAATAATTATACCTACATAATAGTACCCATGCCGTGCATGCAGATCTAACGAATACTCTGCTTCTGCTAGTAAGTTCGCATTGATCATTTTCACAAAAATCTGTTCTGATGCCTACTGCTCAAAATAACGTGCGGACTCAAGACCTGGCGACTCCACCAGAGGAGTTGCCATGTACTAGTTTATACACTTACAAGTTTGTTTATAGTCTTACAAACGGAACCTCAGTAAATCGTTTTTCAACGACAACTAGCCAGAGCGTGCTAATTTACTTATCCCATATCGTTGTGACTAAGAAATCAAGATTTTATTTTTTTAAAAAATCTGCTTATGACGTGTTGTGAGGGGACGGGAGCAAATAGCGTGTAAATTTTCTAAAAAAGAACTTTACATTCCCAGTTACATTTTATTCCGAGTGTATAGCCTGCCCTTTTGCCCATTGCCCATTAATGGGCTTCAGTGTATAAAGAAGATAAGAACTTAGGTACTTAATCACAGGTTGTTCATAATAATATGATGCACCAAGTAAAATACACAGCAGTAATAATGTACATAAATGAATATTATTCTAACAGTAGTGATATTGTGACATTCGATGACGTACAGTGATAATAATACTGTGTAATCTATTGTCAATAGGCCATTGACCCATTGAGTGTAGTAATATGCGAGACGGAAAAGTTATAACCAGTAAGATGTATTTCTAATAATTATCACCGGAATTAACAAGACACAGCAACTTCATAACTTAAAAATTCGTAGCTATATTTTATGTATTGCATTATTATTACCTCACTTAAATAGTACTAGTATGTACTGAGAAGATATAGATGCGCGGAGATATTGATTTACGGGAGTGCAATGACCTCAAAGAAAACCAATACGGACGTGTCTAACTAAACACAGGAATGAATATATAGATATCACCTTATTTTAACTTAAGTTTTAATCTAAGTAGAATAACTAAAAGTATGATATATACCTGTTAATTACATTCTAGACTAAACATATAATATTAAGATAAAAATATTGTTTTATTAGAAAGTGCATTACTTACATCCAAGGTAATTGGTTAATTACTGCATAATCTAATAGGTACACTGATTGCATTTCATAGCTTTATTGCTTTGCGATTTCTTTTCTGGTAAAGCATCGATCGCTTTATTTCTGTTGATTTATGGATGAAACGATAAAGTAAATCACAAAACGTCAGTTGGTGGGCCGTGGTATTTATATTCATAGGTATTTGTCTGGTTAGTAAGTAGGTATAGATAGATGTATTCAGTACGAGGGGTCATGCATTGAGCGAGTGCAATGGAACGAAGTTGTGAATGGCGTGCGGGTAGTGGGGAGATTCGGGGAGAGGTCGCGCGGGGGGCGCCGGGCGGCTGACGGCGTCGGGCCGCTGCGCCGCGGGCGTAATGACGAGGGCGCGGATGATGTCATCTCCGGAGCTCCGCCATTTTGTAGCCAATGATATCCGACCAAAAAGCTTACAAATAGTGTAATTCTATTTATTTCTATGCCACTTGGCCACTAACATTTTAACCACCAATGTTTTTAACACTGACTTAAATGCTTCATGTTATCAAAATGTTTTTTTTATGCAAAACGAGCCCGCTTTCTGAACCGGTAGCTGAGATTAGTACTGTTTCACCATCTTATAAGAATACGAAAAATAAAACTAATAATATTTAGTAATGTATATATTACTTAAGTTATAAAGTAATGCACACTGTTTATACAAATTATTCTATATTCATAGGATTCTGACAAAATCAGGCTCAGTTAGCAGCCAGTATCCAACAGAATTAGTGTAGGTATAACAATTTTATATTAACAATGCTATATTTTCACATAACAATAAAGGTTCTTCAGTTGCGCTTTAAAATTGAATTAGATTTTTATATTTTTTTTGTGATCTTCGGCTAAAGTTCCTATTCGTATGTTAAATGCTAAAATGAACAGATAGATTTTATTAGGTTTGCCTATGTTATGCGTGTTGTATCAATGTGTGGACAGTAGTAAGTACAGAAATGAACGAAATGATATGAAGAAATGTAACCTAAATAACTAATTATTAAACTGTGAATGTTATTTATTGACAAGCAATATTGTTAACTGATTAAATAAACATTGAGCAGATTTCATTAAACATTTAGAAGAAATAATCGATATTTAGTATATACTAAATAGACTGGTATTTCGCAAAAAAGGGTCTATTAACACAGAAAATGAATGTACCACTTTCAGAAAAGAATGTACTACAAGTCGAGCAATAAACAGTTAATTATTATATTGTAAACAAAAAGAAATAAGACTGTCACAACCAATTTTAAGTTTACGTTTGAATTTAAGTAACATAACAACTAATCACGAAAATTAAACAAAAATATTGCTGTAACAAGACAAATTGGCGGGAAGCTGGTAGCTAATGTGAAATTCAAATGAGAAAATTTGAATTCTTTTATTTCTAATCTAATCTAAACTAAATATTGCCACCATTGCCAAAATAAAATTGAAATTTGAGATATATTTATTGTTGATAGAAAACCTTGTTCGTTAGTATGAAATCGTGGGTCTCAAGAGTGCGCGATTGTTGCTAGTGCTCTTTATGTGGCACCTAATAGCTATCCAGATATTGTGAGACGCTCTTACTGTCATAATTTTGTAATCGTCAGACCGATAACAGACTGTGTATTAAGTCAGACTCAAAACGCGATACACCTGTCGTACGACGGTTGAGTCGAACGTATTGGCATAGCGTTCCATTGCGTAGTTTTGCTGTTCTTGCATAAATACACACGGAAAAGTATTGTCTGAAAACGTCATGTCCCAACATTTTCACACCGAAATTTCACCTGACTTGGCCGGGAACTTAGCCGTACACGACTTGTTTTCATTGTGATCTACTATGTACTAGTCTTTAATCAAACGAAAATTAAATTATGTTCTACTATTATAAATATGTGGTATGATAGGCACCTAGGTACTATATTTCATTTAAATAAACCAGTGAGATTCGGTATCAGTATCCTACATTGACAATAGCGATAAAAGTCGTGATGTCGTGAGAAAATGATTAATTTGAATTTGAGTACTTATAGATGCTAGTTAATAGTTTTAACAGGAAATTAAACTACTGTTTGTATACCAAGTGCCTAAGTGGTTATATCGCTTCTCGCAGCCGGTCATCAAAAGTTCTCATCAGTGGGCTACCTCTACATATCCGCTTCGACAACATCGAACCGCTGCTCTCACAGTATGGCAACGTACAACAGTGCGACAAAGCCAACTCGCGCGATGCCAACACCCAAGCGGTGTTCATCACTTTCGAGACACCGGAGCAGGCGCAGCAGTGAGTATTGTCTTTGAGGGTTCAGCTGCGTTGTGTGCACCGTCTGCTTCGATTACAACATTCTTCTTCGCACAACCTTCGACGTTCGCATGACTAGATCTAGCTTCAAAATTCTGCTTTATCGCTGTCTTTATTAACGTTGTATTATATACATATAGCATTCATCGTTGTATGTGTCGGCATTATAATATTGTTGTTTGTTGTATTTAATCAAATCGGCACTGCTTGTGGTTTGTTATTATTTGTAAAAGTAGTTTTAAAGGAAAAGTGGGCAATGTCTTTCTAAACATTGCCAAGGCTGAATCGTCTGTCTAATGAGATGATAACTTTCATAATTAAAAAGCGATAGATGTGTCCGAGTATAAAATGTCGACATAAAAAATGACGTCTCCGGGATTTGAAATGGAAAGATAAAGCAAATCAAATCCCGGCCTGTAAAGTCGGTTTTGAAGAAGTGCATACCTATTTGCATATTTGGTAAAAAAAATATTCATTCTTGGCGGTAAGATAATTGGAATGCATGCGTTCTAATACTAGTAACCTACCATTAACTGCTCATTAAGGTGTCGGGTGGTCGTTTTGCTTGGTCGGGTGGCTTTTTATATCTAATTTACGTGTTTGTTAATGAAATTGTTTCAGAGCCATCAATGGTTTGAATGGATGCGAGTTGGAGGGCAGTCGGATGAAGGTAGAGGCAGCTGAGCAAAACACCCGTGGCGTTAGGCGCGGACGTCCTGGTGGCGGCCGTGGCGGCGGCGGTGCCACCGGTGGCGGCTCGCGACCCACCGACTTCCCGTTGCGGCTTCTCGTTCAGAGCGACATGGTCGGCGCCATCATCGGTCGCCAAGGCAGCACCATCCGCCTTATTACACAGCAGAGCCGTGCACGTGTTGATGTCCACCGCAAGGACAACGTTGGTTCTCTTGAGAAAGCCATTACCATATATGGCAATCCTGAGAACTGCACTAATGCATGCAAAAGAATATTGGAAGTCATGCAACAGGAAGCCAACAACACTAACAAGGGGTAAGATTTATTAACAGGATTATTACTATTCTATTATATTAGTAATATTATAGAAAGGACAGTTGGAAATGATAAAAGATGATAGATTGAGAGGTCGATAGACGAGATTTAAGATAGATTATAGTCTGGAATAACAAATGGTTCCTTTTGCAACCGGGTTATGCTGGTGAATTTGCTGGCGGAACCTAGTACATACAGTCATTATATTAAACATTCGCACGACTCGCATAAAAAAAAAATACTAACACGTCATTCATTGGTTACAATTTTACCTATTTTGCTGACAAATTTTCCACAATTTTCTTTATTAAGATAACTTTTTCTGACGATAACAAACGAAAGAAAGAAGCTAGCAAATGTTGTCCAGCTATCCACACGTGCGGTGACCAAGAGAAAATTACAAGCAAAATACAGATATAATTTGTTTATGGCAATAATAATGTGTGTACTTTCACTATTTATTTTCAGAGAAATCTGCCTCAAAATTTTGGCTCACAATAATCTAATCGGCCGTATTATTGGTAAAGGCGGTAATACTATCAAGAGAATCATGCAAGAAACTGATACAAAGATTACAGTCTCCTCCATCAATGATATAAACAGTTTCAATTTGGAGCGCATTATCACAGTTAAAGGCACTATTGAAAATATGGCCAAAGCGGAATCGCAGATTTCAGCCAAACTTCGCCAGAGCTACGAAAGTGATTTGCAGGTATTGTTTTGCGTTTTAAGCCAATCATACTACTTTAATAAGTTGTATATTTTTGTATACATTTAAATATATTTGTTTTAGATGCTGGCTCCGCAAAGCATTATGTTCCCAGGGCTGCACCCCATGGCTATGATGTCCACCGGACGTGGATTCTGCGGCGCTCCTCCTCCGTTCCCGCCTCCAATATACGCTCCTCTGCCGGGCCAGGGCGGGGCTCAGCAGGGAGCTGGTGACTCACAGGTATTACGAAACGATAACTGCACGTCCTTGCCCACTCAATTCCCAACTTATGCTATTATGGAAACTATACAAAATAACTTAGATTGGAGTTGTGTATTAAATATTTTAAAAACAAATTTGTTTAATAGGAAACAACGTACTTGTACATCCCAAATAATGCCGTGGGCGCCATAATTGGTACGAAGGGCCTGCATATTCGTAACATCATACGATTCAGCAACGCGTCTGTGAAGATAGCTCCTCTGGAACAGGACAAGCAAGGCGAGCACCAAAGCAATCCCCAACAGGAGCGTAAGGTCACCATTGTTGGCAGTCCTGAGGCTCAATGGAAGGTGTGTGTGACCCTTTAGTATTTTAAATAATGAAAATTAAATGTGAACTCACCGCAAGAGTACTGTCACGCACGCACTCCACTACCATATCGGAAATATTTTACAGGCTCAGTATCTCATCTTTGAGAAGATGCGAGAAGAAGGTTTCATGTCTGGCTCTGACGACGTGCGGCTGACGGTGGAGATAGTGGTGGCTTCATCTCAAGTCGGTCGTATAATCGGCAAAGGCGGCCAAAACGTACGGGAGCTGCAGCGCGTAACAGGATCGCTAATTAAGCTTCCCGAGCAACCGCAGCAGCAGCAAGGCGGCGGGCAGCAACAGGATCACGATACAACAGTGCATATCGTCGGCCCCTTCTACAGCGTTCAGGTATGAATACATAGCGTATATGTCATCAAAAGACAGAATAGTGTTAAAATGCTGCAATTTAGTTGTTACTAGATGTTAATTGGGATTATATAATTTGAATGCCATGTTTCAAATATTTAATAAAAATCCCTGTATCACATCAAATTTTCAATCAAAAATTTACCATTGTTAGTAAAGTCTCAGTGCAAGTATTGACATACTCGTATTTTCAAATAAGAGAGTATTTGTGCATGTACTACCGTAATCGTAAAAAAGAGCTATCATTAAAACAGAGTTACATTATGTCCAATTCTAATCACATGCAACCATGATTGTTCGTCAAACTGGAGTAGGACTCTCTTTGAGTAGGTGGCAAGGTTAATTATAACGAATTTAGTGAATTGTGTACTATACATATTATGTCGGTTTTTTCTAGATATACTGTTAACTATCGATAGTTAACAGTATTTCAATATATAGTAATAACGTATACTATTAACTATCGAGTAATACCGTCGTGTGTGGGCTTAAGATGCGCACACGAAAACGAATTACCAGATCAAAGTTACGATGTTTGGATGTTTGTTACTCACGCTTAAAACATGGATGAAATTTGGCACATGCATAGGATACATTCTGGAATAGGATTCTACTTTTTATCAACGTACCATTCGGGGGCAATAATAGTAATAATAGTCAATAATAAATTAATCTGTTTGCCTAGTCAATATTCATAGTATTACAAATATAATTAATATTGACAATGACAATTCACGACATTATACTTATTAACAATTTATTTAAATATAATAGGATATTTTAAGCTATAAACCAACCTTCATGTTCTGATATTGTCAGGGAAAATAGGAAATTGCCTAGATAGTAGAAATATTATTTAGATTTATTACTATTTATTAGTCACAACATATTTGCTCTACTATTAAGGGCGGATTTTGCAATATTATTTTTAATAAAATTGTTGCTGTCACTGTGTTATACAAACATTTTGACGCGACAGCATCATAATTATTTATTATTCCCCAGATAACTTTTATCTAACCATTGAAATATCAGCCTTAAATTGTATATTTTGGTGGGCTTGTTCTATCTGGGAAAAACAATTGGGAGTGGTAGTGATGTTTTGGTATTTGAAGTTGCTTCAGGTGTAGTGATTTAAAATTGTCTTAAAAATTATCAGTATCTAAATGACTTTGTTTGTGTTTAAAATCATTTGGTTGTGGTTTCAAATTAATTTTTCATTGCGTTTTTTGACAAAGTTAATTTTTCAACCAGTTTTTTCAGGCTAGTTATATTGCTCAGTCATATTGAAAATAAAATATTTTTGTTCATCAATATGGTAGCTTTGATTGAGACTTAACATAAGATAAAAACGGACGATATTATATATTAGAATCCTTCCTATGGAAAATAGTTTGTCATAAAGATATAATTAAGGATTTGCGAAAATCCATCCAACATTGCAGCATTTTAATGCATATTTTCACTTCTTTCTTCCATGACCAAGTTTTTATTTATTTGTGTTTGTTATTGTTCTGTAATTTTTGTATTCGAAGTTTGACCCTTATTATGAATTGCCTCTGCGAAATTGTAAATCGGTAGTACATAATGTGTGGTGCTCATTACACAGTATACATGTAGTTACAAGTCCAAATAAAATCGTTCTTATTCGTTACGTTATTATTATGTATTAATGAAGAGAATAAGGTGACGCGAAACATACATTGAAAATGTCAATAAGATAAGTATAATATTTTAATAAATTGCTGGCGCCATGCGAACTAGTTAAAAATGCATTTGAATTTAATTGCACGACTCACTGTGGCATAATGAGATATTTACGTTTTGTAGCGGTCACCTGACGCGGGATGAGAGTCATAAACGAGACACTGCCTGTATAAGGATACAATCCTCAGTGTGAGCCTATGAAATGGCACCACACCAGCCATGGCAAGTTATTTTATGCCTTTGATGCAAAAACATAGGTGAGTTATCCCAGTATTCACGTAAATAAACAGAGTATACATAATTATTTTTATGCGAATGTTGTGAACTTAAGTGACAATAAAATTCATCATATATTGAAAACTCTTTAATTTATTGCTGCGCCTAATTAATATTGGACTATGTAACTACATGTATAATTAATATAATTTAGTAAATAGTAGTCAAATTTACATTAGAAACTATATTGCACTAGGTAGGGATTGTTTCAATACATAATTTTGTTATGAATAGCTTACTGAAATGTCATGAATATGTAATAATGTGTTGTAAAAATTTGTATGTACAGATATCAACACACATTAATGAAAGTATAAATTAATAAACATAATCATGGATGTGTGATATTTATCTGGACATACCTGTGGATCTGTGTTAAGCTCTGCTAAGTATATTTGTTTCGCAATGCCAATTTTGCAATGGTACAGTTACTTAGTGTTGTTTAAATACAATTATGTAATACACATTTTATTTAGACATAAGTGTTATGCGAAATGAAACGCATGTTACTAGAAATTGTAAGCTTAATGCGTGCTTATGTATGTTATCAGTCGGCGCAGCGACGCATTCGTGCAATGGTTGCGCAGGCGAGCGCACCGGGCCGCCGCCGCGCCGCCCAACCGCCGCCTCCCGTGCAGCAGTAAACTGCCTCCCACATGTTCGAGATCCCCGCGCGCCCTCAAGCACATCTTCACCCTCGAGCCCTCGCAACACCCCGTCAGCTCGAGCAGCCTATGCCGCCTGCGGTCGCAGTCACCCAATGCTAGCGTGTTCTTAATGATGCGCCCCATACACTAGACTGGCTTCATATAATGCACATAAGTGTTACACAAAGGATAGACATTGTCGTAAGTAACGCTTTACTTAAATTTTGTGCAGGCAGGCTGTCGAGTTGACAATATGTGTCCAAATGTTGTTGTTGACATAATTCTATTATTGTAGTGTAAATCTATTGATAAATCAATATTTTATTCCGGGAATTATCTATGTTGATGATTGAATTTGAATATATATTATACATATATAATATTATTCATATACACTATTTTTTAAATAATAATGTGATTGTTATGTTTTCATACCATGTTATTCTGCTACAATGTAAAGAGTTGTCATAGATTGCAATAGTTAGATTATGTTCTGTATACTGTTTACAAATGTTAATAACAATATCTATAATAATATCACGCCGTTCTATATACAAACTTGAAGTGCAAATAATGTTTTTGTTATAAGATAATAGTCTAATCTGTTAATCACCAAACTATACTGTTAAATGTAATTTTAAAGGGTGTGTGGGAAAAACTAACTATGAACGGAAATTACACGACGTTGCTTTAACGAGGAGGCTCATTGGATAAACGGCTTTGCAAAGTATATTGTAAGAATATTTCTTGAAACGATACACGGAGTTTCTGCATGCTGCTGAGATTGTGTCGTACAATGGTTTCTATTGAACTGATATGAGTGTTGGGTGATAAGTAACTAATCCAAAGAGTGAACGCCGATCGTGTGTCGAATCGGTCTGACGTAGTGACGAGCCTTGACTTGACTAGCGCGGCGTGGCCGGGAAACGCCCCGCGATACGCTAGCGTCCCGCGCCTGGCGTCTGCGCCACCGCTCCTGTCATTTATGATATGGAGGCGATGATCTACCTAATATGATGGACAAATATTTTTGATATAATAGTAATTGTTGGAGAGTAAGGAGTAAACTTATGAGTTTTAATTTGTAAGTAACATTTGTTGATCGTTTTCTTTGTAATTTTGTCTTTGTTAGCTTTATAGTGTTTTCTTGTATTGAAAATGTAATACAGAAGTTTGGACATTGAACGATACCGTAGCGTTTAATGGTGCGAGTATTAACGTCGCGTCCGTCGTATTGTTCGGTTCTATCGTGATATGTTTTATTATTCAATTGTACGATTTGCGTTATCATTGTGCCAAGTGAGATAATTTAAACTATGAGAGATTAAGATTAAGTGAATAATATCAAAATTAATGAAAAGCTTAGATATTTATATGTATAATGTGATAATATATGGAAGTTTTGGCAAAAATGTCACTAAGAATGTTCTACATTCTTATTTCCATTTTCTCATTTTTTAGGTTAGATTATAATAAATTATAAATTGTAAGTCGTGAGGAGTTGGTGTAGGCTGAGCCACATTCATTTGTCGCGTGTGCTCATCGCTTATTCCAATCCTCACCAGCTGATGTCCCGATACTTCAACACTTCTACTCTTAAACATCTGTTTACGTCTATTCCGTGTCCCAAATGCATCAAAATAATTTTCAATTCATTAATGTTGAATGGCGTAATATTCTTGTTTGCACTTTCAAGGTTTAGTGCTGAATGTAAAGGGTACTATACGCATGCTTACTGCATACTTATGTTACCTGTGAGGGATTACCTAATAATTTAGAAGTGGTTGCTTAAATAGATATCGGTGCTTATTCGTAGCAACACCACGATCTGGAACACTTCCCATCAATCTCCATTATAATTTTAATCGGTTACTATTATTGGGTAATCAATCAAGTAACATTTGTATTTCATTTTCAGAATTTAGCTGAAAAGTTTTCAGCTATCTAATCTTCCGATAGTATATTGATCATAAAGGGTCGTTTCTTAATTATTGATGAATCATTGCAATGACGTAATAATGTATACTTGATTATTATAACCGTAACAAGTATATACTGGTAAATACATCTACAAAGATTAATCAGTTTACTATCGGAAGATGATATTTTTTTTTTAGTTTTTCTTCATGTCGGTCAAAGATTTGTACTACGTGATTACGTGATAGTAATCAACGGATTTGCAAATCAGTACAACTTTATTATGATGTAGTAATTTAGTAATCTTAATTTGTTTGATGTTTGAGTGAATAAATCTTTTGTGGTAAATTTAAAATTTTCTGACAAGACCCTGCTACACATTTGGTAGTAAAACGTATTTTTTTGCAATTTTGTATTGCTTCCACATATTATTATTAAAAAAATCTCACATTTGGCAAAGAAGTAACTCCTTATATACAGACGAAAAACAACGTGCTATAGGTGCTTAATATTCAACGATAAACTTAAGATACCATTTTGAAGGTATGAGCCGTGAGCCGTGAAAGAAAACAATTGTCGCCGTTATAATTTTATGATTTACGTACTTTATATAAATAGTTCGCAAATCTATAGTTAATCTATGTGAAAGAATTATATACTGCCATGTTACATAAATGTAAATAAGCTCCCGTAAAATTAGTAACTGTTAATTATTGAAACAGAGTTTGTTGTTATATTTCACTTATACACATTTATATTTACATTACATAAATAAGTAAAAGTAAACTAATCGTAAATTTATAACGGCTTATTTTTAATATGACAAATCCGTCTATTATGATTAACGGTACACTATGTAGTACGAGAATAGTACCCGCAAGAGTTTTAAGTACGTGAGTTCCTTTACACGCTACGGATAAGTAATGTTTGTTCCATAGAGAATAAACATGTTATATGTAAATAACTTATGACATAGAAAACGGACTTCATTTTTACAAACATATCAGGAAGAATAACTGCCTATGATCAGAGAGCAGTGAGAGTCCACTTACTGACATACATGCCGAGACTTACTAATGGTGTTGCGTAATGTAATCGTGACGCAACACCATGCGAATGGTTTATTGTTCGGCCGTAATTTAACAAAATGAATGGTTTAGTGATTAAAATGTCGTGCGATGGGCAACATACTCGTCGCTAACTTTGTTACTCTCCACAATAGCTGTATCACTTAACTAAATGCCAGGAATTTGTGTGTGAAGTACCAATCGATACTATTATTACAATAATTACTTAATGAGTTTTTAAGGCTCTGAATTTATAAAACTGAATATGAATGTTTGATGCTAGAAGTGTAACGATTTTAACGCTATGTGGCGTAACGTCAGGATGATAAGTCCTTAATGTAATCGGCAAATAATTTTACATTCCATATTTCATGAAATAACACCTATTGCTGAAAGATCGACCACCTGCAATTGCGTATTTTAGAGAATTACTAAATTATAATATAATTTCGCATTCAATGTTATTACTTATAAACGGTACGAGTGAAAAATATATGTGTAGATGTATGCAAGCTAATTATTGTTTCGCTAAAGAAAATTGTATGCATTAACGATATTTGAATGTCTTGAATTAATGTTAGAATTCATATTGGTGTAACATTTCCACTCGTTAGTAGATTAACAATATTTTTTCTTGACAAGAAATCGGCTTGTATTATGTGTTCAATATCGGTCGACTACCTGAGTATTTGGTTAACCGACTATTGTTCGACACACAGACAGCCAGATTCCGCTTGCATCGGCTATCAGAATGGAATATAATATATGGTTACTTTCACTGCGACAGGAAGAGTGTACATATAGGCATGTTGTTTATTCCTTCCAAATGAAAGCAAGAGAGGGTACATTATGATTTGTAATGTTAGGATGCAGAAATAGTTTTAGTTGATTATTATTGTATCGTTGCGAAGTAGTTTAAGTTGATGTAGGCGCGGGCGGCGCGCGGCCACGAGACTGAACTACACCCCTGCCGTCGCGCCCTCGCGCCCATTACTTACATATTGTCATTGTCGCTATTATCATTCTTGTTTGATGGTTCTACTGTTATTTACATTACATTATAATTCTTTCTCGTGTGTGTAACAACTATTTTGTGTATTTACGTGTGAAAGGATCGATTTCATTTTATGGAAACCTCGAGCGCACATTGCATTTTTTTCAATTGTTAATTTTATTTAGTGGGGAAATGGAGCACTCATTCTGTTGTTCGTATGTTACATCCCCCTCCAGTGTATGCTATTGAAGTTTACCGAGTCTATAGTAATAGTGTTTATGTATGTCGTATGTATTTATGTACCTTGCTGGAGCATGTATATCAGTGTGTAGTGTGGTCGCGTGGCGGCCGGGCGGGTGTAGGAACACGTCGTACCGGGCCGGTGGCGGTACCGCTCGGCCAGACTCGTTTCGTGTCGTCGCGTCTCGTCCCGCCCGCCATGTGATAAAATATTATTATTAAATAACGGGCGTACATACGCGATCTCATGAGGCGGGACCCACAGCATGCGTTATTTTGTTTAGAATAGGGAAGCTGTTGTTGTTGCTTCTCAAATGAATGTATCAAGGTCCAATATTCATTGATATATTGTTTTTTATTTCACTACTCTTGCAGGATAAATTGACATACATAGTCCAACCGCATTTTCTTTAAATTACTGTTATTTTTAGAACCATTTTATAATTGGTATAAGTTCTGAAACTAATAACTACCTCAATATTACTAAATGAATATGATAATTATCTTTGTGCATGTTTTTGGGAACTGAATTTAAAAGAATATGAAAATTCAATATAGTATAAGATTGCTATTTTAAACATAGTACAGAAAGTTGTCAAAATTAGGTTTCTTAACGTAATAAAACTGGTGAAATTTGAATTTGTTTTTCTTTCAATTTTAGTTGTAAGTAACCTTCCCATAAAAGACTTCGGTTCGAGCGGTGCGGAGAACTAAGGTGCGATGTGCAATGGTATCGGCCTGATGAGTGATGAATGCCCAAGACATGTGTACTGTGTCTGTCATCGAGCGGCAGGAGGAAAAAATAAATGAATATACGTGACCCTGACGGCAAGGACTCACCCAAAAGGGCATCTCTCCGCCCTTTCCACCCCTTTCGGCGTTAGTCTGTCAATAGAATTCTGCTATGGGCGTTTAGCGAACTGAATCTTATATTTCATTAGGATTTGCTCCGTGCCCGCCTCTGGAACCGGGACAACAGTGTTGACGAAAGGGTGTTACCGAGCGGGAATAACCCGACTGCCATACACAGCCTATCAATGCTACAACGCACGCCATTTTTTAAATCGGGGATGTAATAGCCTCACCTATTTTGAGGACGCTGTTGCTAGTACCTCTTATTCTGCACAGTAGGCATGCAGTTTTTTTGCGAATCACTGCTTTCCAGCCTTCATAGGTTCGATTTAACACAAATATTTCTGAGGCACTACAAAAGCGAGGGGTTTCCGGTGTAGAAGCTTAGGCAATATGCCAAAAAAGGGTGATCATGTATGACATACGCACTATAGAAAGAAAAAAATTGGCAGGTATGCTTTCAAGGAAGTGTTTACCACCGACCATATATTTGCATATGTATTTGCATTTCGTAACGAATATTTATCCGTGGCTAACTGCATAAATCTCACAACGCCTATTTACTGCACCGTAGGGACCATCAGCACCACATCCGCGTTATACACAGTTATAAGTATATTGTATTTTCTTTCAATTCAGGGCTACTGAAGCAAATTTTATACACGGTAATATGCAAAATTGCTGCTAATTGATACAATTTTCGTATTTAACGCGACGACGGATCCGGTCTTTGCCCACCGTACACCTCGTGAGACCACCTAGGTGTGCAGCGCGAAGTTTTTATTTCCTACTGTTCACCTTGGTTCACCTGGGTGTACCGTGGGAAATAAAAAATTTCCTCCATCCACTTTATTATCAAAACTATATCTGAAGAGCAAAGAGATTAATGATTAATGCCCGGTTCCTATATTTAACGAATCGTCGTTGTATACGCATTACGACCAAATGACATTACGAATAGTTATCTCGACCGTCTACTGACGGTTAAAATATTTATAGGAAAACCACAGACACCATAGATCTCCATACAATTCGCTTACCGATATCCGTTAGTTGCAAACCGTCAGTAAGTTGCACGACGAGACGTTTGTTATAGGAACGGTTTTAGCTTACGAGTCGTATATAAAACTACTATTCGTAACTAAAACGGATCGTTTCTCAATTATAGGAACCGGGCATTAAACATATTATGCATTACAATATTCTACTGTTTGTAAACGGGTGCTATGAAGTGGTAATTTGAGTTCAGGAAAAAGATAGAATTCGGGTGGACCCATATCTGGCGAGGTGTACGGTGGGCAAAAAGTGGACGGATCTAGAGGGAAGGTCACGGTGCTCATGACCCCCCTCCCCTCGGGCTGGCTTCAGGACTTAGGTGGACATGTACCATATGGTTGAGTTGGGCGATGCTCTGGTGTACGTGTTATGTTCGTGAACGGGCGCCGTCAGTTGGGACTGGTCCAGCTCCGGACTGTCTTTTTGTCCTTAAGGTTTCTTTTTATATTTGAATATTAAAATGCTAAATTGTGATTACAAAATATAAAGTAAATGTAGACAAAATCAACCGACAGCTTTCTGGCGAGAGTAAAAAGGTAGCTGAGAAGATAGATGTAAAAATTTTATCCCCCGGAATAGTATCAAAACAATATAATATAATATTATTAATACTCCCGCAGAGCTATTATATAGGATTCACCCTATTCTAGATTCAATAATAAAGCGATTTTCAGAATCGCCTGTCTCTTCTACCTTGTCAGGAGGCAAGTGAATAGGTATGGTAAAATAGATAGGTATTAAAACAGAAACAACTAGGTAGCTAAAATACATTTTACTTAATAACACTCCAGTTTTTGTCATTATTATTAATGTCTAAATAATTAAGTTCGGCTGTGGATGCTGCAGCGGCAAGCGCCACAGCGGAGTTATGAGCAGTTGAATACTGATACTCGGAAAATATTGGAATAGGAGGTGTCCTTTCACAACGCGATGGTGAGCAGGAGAAGGTTATTGCTTACTTCAGCAAGTCACTATCCAAGCCGGAGAGGAATTATTGCGTGACCAGGAGGGAATTGCTGGCCGTAGTCAAAACTCTGCACCATTTCAAGAAGTATTTACTGGGACGGAAATTTTTGATCAGAACTGATCACGCTGCTTTGAAATGGCTGCTTCAGTTTAAGGATCCCGAAGGCCAAGTAGCCAGATGGTTGGAACAACTTCAGGAATTTGACTTTGAAATCGAACATCGCGGCAGAAGAATTCATGGCAACGCAGATGCATTATCGAGACGCCCATGCGTGGAAGATTGCAAGCATTGTGCCAAGAAGGAAACTGCAAGGTGATAAGGACTGATACTGTTGACGAGGCATGGGGAGATGATGCGATGAAATTAGAACAGGAAAGAGATGCAGATATTAAACCAATACTGTGGCTACGAAGTGGGAACAAGCCAAGTTGGAGTGACGTCGCCCAATATAGCGCGGTAACGAAAGGTTTATGGGCACAGTGGAAAAGCCTTACGCTGCATAACGGACTTCTGTGCAGGAAATGGGAATCAACAAACGGCAAGGACGAGCATTTGCAATTGGTGGTGTCTCGTTCAAAAATAAGGGATGTGTTAAAAGCGTTCCATGATGGATCTTCTGGAGGACATTTGGGAATTAGGAGGACTTTGGTGAAGATCAAGGAGAGGTTTTATTGGTTGCATTGCAAATATGACGTCGAAGATTGGTGCCGGAAATGCACTAGTTGTGCAGCTGTCAAGGGTCCACAAACAAGAAGCAGGGGGACGATGAAAATCTACAATGTTGGTATGCCTTGGGAGAGAATAGCCTTAGACATCGCTGGACCATTTCCAATCACTGATTCGGGCAATCGCTACGTTTTAGTGGTTATGGATTATTTTACAAAATGGCCGGAGGTCTTTGCCATACCGAATCAAGAGGCAGTAACTGTAGCCACGAAGTTGGTAAACGAGGTATTCACCCGATTCGGAGTGCCCTTGGAGATGCACAGTGATCAAGGACGGAACTTTGAATCCCAAGTTTTTCAGGAAACTTGTAAACTTTTGGGAATCCATAAGACTCGAACGACCCCTTATCATCCACAGTCAGATGGAATGGTCGAACGCTTCAACCAAACATTGGAGCGACACTTAGCAAAGGTGGTTGACAGCCATCAGAGAGATTGGGACACTTACATACCTCTCTTCTTGCTTGCCTATCGGACTGCTGTACATGAAAGTACCGCAAAGAAAGAAAGCATTTGCAAATTTTGGAAGGGAATTGAGATTACCGGCAGATCTTGTATCGGGCTGTCCACCTGGCGACTCTCGCACCGAGTTTAGCGATTACATAAGCGAGTTAAGGGCAAAAATGTTGGACATTTATGAGCAGATCAGGGAGGCCGGTCTTCAAGCTAGTGATCGCGCAAAGACGCGCTATGATCGACGAGCCAATTCTGTTGGGTTTGAAGAGGGGTCATTGGTCTGGCTTCATAATCCAGTCAGAAGGAAGGGAAAATCTCCGAAGCTGCAACCGAGTTGGGAAGGTCCTTATGAGATAGTCACGAAGATCAATGACATTTCTTACAGAATTCGGAAGACTTCAAGGAGCCCTTTGAAAGTTGTCCATATAGACAGGTTGGCGAGGTATTACGGCAGCAACGATGCTCGGGACGAGCGAATCTAAGAGGGGGGACTTTTCCGTCACAGTGTGACGGAAAAGTGGTTCAAACTCTTTGACATCATGACGTCAATGGATGGTTGTCAAACGTTGCCTAGAGATTGTAAATTTCGTCGTGAATTGTCAACACGAGTTGGTGCAACCGGTAAGGCGTGTGGATTACACCACCGAGACCCCGAGTTCGAGTCCCGCCGTAAACATGAAGTTTTTTAGTTTATAGAAGTTTTGTCGAACTTTCTGGAATTATTTGTGTGAAAGAAATGAAAAATTAAAGAGCGAGAAGGAGAATAAATAAAAATGAATAACGAAATTATTGGAAGGTTCTGGAGGCATGACGATCAAAAAGAATAACGAAATTGAATGTTCCAGAACCTGACCGGGGGTATATAAGCGGAACTGCGGCTCACCGCTGGCAGTTGAGTTCTAAGTCTAAAGCGATTCGGAAGAAAAGGAAGAAGTGAAAAAGAAGAAAAGTGAGTGAAATAGTGAAGTGCAGTGAAATAGTGAAGTGCAGTCAGTTAAGTGAGTTAAGTCAGCGTGAACGGCAAAGTTGTGTCAGTCGGCCGGACTCTGCTGGAGAGGAACGCCGATAACTCCGTGGACGCTGTAACTTAAGTGCAATAGAAAGTCTGAAAACCGGTATTAGTGTCTCATTTCATCCAATCCCGTAACCCAAGCCCGCATAGTCAAGAACGTGGCGTCAGGCACGTAACAGTACTATATCTTTGTATCTGCTTCCTCATGAGCTGGGCATGACAACTCTTCATCAATCCTTGAGACAACTTTGTTGGAATTATTAATTATGACTTAGCTCAATTTGAAATAAAAAAAGCTTCTATGAAATTATGTTTTTCAAGTCTTTCGCGAAATCACTTGGTCGATTTTGTTCGGGCCCAGTTGTAGAGTGTTCCAATAGCGCGGGTTCTAACCGTTGGGAATGCTCATAATCCTTGATAAGATTAAGAAACCTTGACAGGGCATCGAATCTAGTAGGCCACGTACGTAACATACTGAATAGGTATGAAGCTTAGATTATTAATATGGTATGAAGAGTCAGACAGAGATCACAAATCAAATAAAACACGTAAACACTAAAAATAGACATTTATTTATGGAGTACGACATGCAGGATTCTCCGGGTGGAAATGACAAAATGCATTGTTTTCTGAAAGAGGTAGAGAAAGCCTGGAACTATGTGGTAAAAATATTTTCAAGGAGGATCGATACATCGCTGCGGTTGATTTTGAAATCTTCCTCGACCCAGTTATCTTTTTGGTTATTTTTCGATCAGGTGTGGCTTTAAGTGGTCTTTTTGTTGTGATATTTGACTTGCCGCCTTGTCTTCCAATAGTATCTAAAAATATTATTACAAGAGTAGGTACCTCAGTATAATATTTAGTGATTTTAGCTTCCAGGTAAACGTAAGTATCTATTTATTCTTAATATAAGACCAGTCCCCAAAGATAAAAAGAAAAAATAACCAATTGAATAAATGGCTTAATTAAGGTTTTCTATGTGACGTGGGAAAACCATCTAATCGTTTCTCCCGCTGTGGGTGGAGCGACACGCAGTTTTTGTTATGATGTAATAGGTCGGCAAACGAGCAGACGGATTACCTGATGGTAAGCAATCAACGCCGACCATTGATGTTGGAGGAGTTAGGAGTCCGTTACCGATTTTTTAGGGATTAAGGATTTGGAGATCTAGGGAATGGGGAAGGGTAAGGATTGGGCCTCCGGTAACCTCAGTCACACGGTGAAACAACGCTGTGGTTGTTTCACGCCGGTTTTCTGTAAGGCCGTGGTATCGCTCCTGTCGACCCGACCTATTCGTGCCGAAGCTCTTCCACACTTAGTCCGCAGTATCAGGTTTTTACTGACATAAAACCACCTTGTTCCTTGTTACTTCTGGTCTAGGCCGGGGCCGCGGAACATTACTGAAGAAAACGATTGACCTACGTTTAAAAACTACTAAAAACCTTTATTTCGAATAAGCTTTTTCTTCTGTGTTGTGGGATCATTTAGAAACATAGAATTACACATAGGTACCTACATATCACACATGTCATGGACCCGGAACAAAAATGGCACATCCTATTGATAATAACGTAAGTAAATGCAAAAAGGCATTATTGTTCATTTTAGTTAGTTACATTAAAAACTATACCAAATCTGTTCTAATTCTTTTATGAGAAACACTTACCGAAATCGCGCATCATTCGTCGGTAGGATTCTGAAAACATAATATAAATAGGGCTCATGTTTGACTGGATGCGGATAAATATTAGACTTGGCAGATTATTTCTTACCGCAATTATTATTATTTTTTAGAATAAGTATACAACAGATGTGACTTTAATTTATCAAACTCGAAGTCAAACTCGACCGCTAGCGTTCGCGGACCTATTCTCATACCTACTATTCTGTATATTATAACCACGATTGAAATGTTAAAACTTCTGAATGAGGGGGACAACTATTCAAAAGAGGACAGCGTGTATGTAATAATTATAAAAATGATATGACATGGAGTGCTGCCACATAATATTATGACCGTGCCTAAGATTTAAAAAAGCGGATAACGTTTTACCCTTCGGTGCAACGCTGATCGGCGTCGTGCCCGTGGCCGTGGTGTCCTGATCTTCAGAGATCAGTGCACACGTGCTGTTGGCATCCTCAGAAATTGTGGCAGCTCCATCTTTCAAGATGCCACCCGACCGCAAAATTTTCCCGAGATCTTGTGTTGACAAAACAATCATGTAGGTATAATAGAAATTAACTGTATCTGCTATAACATAACTTAGCTGTGTTAGATAAGTACCTGATTTGAGGAGTTTAATTAAAAATAAGGCTTGTGTGATATTATCGTCGCCATCTTCAGCCTTTTCGTTATTTCCTGCTATCCTGTCTACATTAAAACTTACTATTATTGAAATTCCCGCCAAACACAGTAATTTTATGCTCAACGACATCACACCAATGTTTGTTTTGTACCTAAAGAAAATAAACGGCTTTTTCTAGTGGTTTAAATAGAATTCAATGTAAGTAATAAAACGCGATATGATTTTCGTTACATAATTTCAATTTTGCAAGTGAACATGTGAATAAAAAAGTGAGTAGGTAGTTTAAAAATAAATTATGATAACAAAATACATAAAAACGCTATATTTTATTTTATTATAAGAAGTTGGTGGAATAAAAATACAGGTGTTAAGATATTCACTAGAATCACAACATAACGTATTGAAGTGAGTGAATTCGTAGGAGTAGGTAGGTACCTATAATAACAAACTAAACGTACCTATCTACCGTAACAGCGGTGGTTAATACAAGATTTTGGAAAAACTGTTTCCGAAATGCAAATATTTTAGTAAATGCCGATTTTATGAAGAAAATGCATTCTACAGTGTTCACTGATAATACACCTATATTTTAATTCTGACTAGAAGCTTACGTACTACATACCTACTTTAAATAAGTTATTATATCTACTAGATCTCAAAGTGAGTAACATTTTTCTGAATTTCTGAGTACTTACCATTTTGGATCTGTTGATTGGTTTAAGTAGGTACCTACTTACACTTTTATGTGCTGTAGAATATGATCAAAAGTTTTCATATTTATTCTTTCACAGAAATATTAGCTACTTACTTACCTTGTACCTACAGGTCCATTTAAAAAACTATTTTCATTCAGGCCGTGCATTCTTTTTCGAATATTTATTTTCGTTGTTTGAATACGGTTTAACACTTAACCAAAATTAGTTCATACTACCGCTGCATAACCGTTACGGGTAGTAGTTAGGCAGGCCAAAGTTAGAAGATATAATTTAAAAAAACGCATATCCGTAAAGTAATTACGTAATAGAGACACAGAAGTAGGTACCTTAACACCAACCAAGTTAAAACTCCAATAAAAATGCCGAATATTCAAAACGTGTTTTATTTATTCATCATCGAAATCAATATTGGAATTGTATTTTTAACACTATAATAAGTATTTGTAGTGTTAAAATTAACACAATGTCAATTAAAATTTACACTTTTTTAATTGCTGATTATTTTTTATTTATATAAACCTGTTTTATTTTGTTCTGCTAGGTACTATTATAATATGGTCATTATAATGTGTTAAAATATATTGTCGGGTTTTAATCGATAGGTAGATTAACATATTATAAGTATCTAATATGGTCACTGTTGGAAATTATCCCAAGTTGCATCCTAAATTGTATAAATCTGTATTGTATCTGTATCTGCGTTTGTACTGGCTGTACTTCGTACAGAAAAGTCTTTTATTACATAATCTTAACCTTCTAAATTAATTTAATTCTATCACAAGTAATTTGAGTCGGTACCTACTACAAAAATTTGATTTTAGTTACGCAATTTTGGGTATGATGTCAAAAATGTTGTCCGTATCACAGACGTATAAATAATAGCAGACAAAACAATATTGTTGAGTTTTAAGTACTATTAAAGGAAGTCGTCTTAAGGTAGGTACTTACCAAAATGTTAGTCCACTTGACCAAAATGTTAGTACACTTAACAATTTAAGTGTTTTATAAAACCTTTCATTGCGAATTATGTACAATTTCACATAAATGTTATTTTCGTTCATGTTTTTCTGCGTTTAATGCAGAATAAATGAACAGCTTTTTTAATTTAATTATAAGCGTCACGTACAGTTAAAGTCAAGTGTATTAGTCAAATTCAAATACGATTTTCATAATAAAACTACTACACTGACAATGCCCATACATTAAAAAACCATGCCTTTATGGTATTACAAAGGCGGGTGTGACCATTTTTTTCGATTGTTGTGGTATCTGTTACCGTTACTTTTTTTCAAAAATATACCAAAAAATACTGTCTCCCTCCAATTGTCCTTCAATATGATTGAAAAATACTGCTACTTGGAAACACAAAAAAGTACTTATTAAAATACTGAATCTGATCACACTTTACTACGTAGCGCCAAAAGCAACGCTTGTCACAGCCGCCTGCCCCGCTCGCCGCCCCACTCGCTTATAACACCAAAGTCGTGAACGGCCCCTTATGCTTCTTGCCAAAAGTGACTGATTTCGTTGAATGGTGACTGCATTTCCGCTATTTCTAAGGATTTACTGTTGGTGGTCTGTTGGAGAAGATTAAAAAGTTCAGTCAACTTATAGGACAGTGCAAGGTGCAGGCATTAATTCAAAAATTGAACCAATGTCTGCACTAGGCAGGTACTAAACAGCCGGGGTTGCGGGTTAAGCGCAATGAGCCACCGCGGCCTCGACATAGAGCAGCAGAAGGAACGGGGGCGTTTTTAGTCAGTAACGGGGGGTCAGTCAGTAAGAGTCTGACACTCTCTCCCTCCCAGCCCTGGGCAGGAGAAGTCATTTGATGATTTTCCCCTCACAAAAAAGTACCTACTATCTACTTCTAGATCTAAGTAGGTACTTGTAACCAATTTTCCAATATAATTTTTGGAGACTAGGTATTTTGTTTCTTTTTCTTATATTGTGTCAGACTCAGAATCTAAATGCAGTATACAAAGTACTTTTCAACAGTACAGTTCTTGTAATTTCGGAAAAAGAGAGTCCGACATACGGACGAACAGACATACCTACATGCCAGAATACATATTTTGTACCATTTGGCTACGGAACTTTAAAAATAGAAAAAGGATTTGAAAAAAATGTAGGAAGGTAGGTACTAAAATATCTACCAACTAACTTTGAATAGATGTCTTGAAGCAAATCCATTCTTCCGAAATGCAACTAGTTTTACAGGTCTTGGGCGCCTTTCAAATGGTTCGAAGTAATCCTGTTAGCAAAATACGAAGAGTAATTAAGAAGTTTCACATATAACATAAATGATTAAACAAAATGGTTTAATCGTCACTATAATATCTCCAGGGCCTCGAGTCTGCTATTACAATAGTGTCAGAATAGTAGATCATTGATTTCAAAATTGTTGATTTTGACAAGTTTGGTAATCCACTTACACGATAGCGTCATTATGACTTTCTAATGCCACTTCATTGAAATAATTCTTTAGAACGGTAATCTCGTACCTACATAACGAAAAATTAATATTTCACATAATGCGATAAATTATTAAAAAAAGGTCAGTTCCTTTATTCAATGATTTACGTTTAGAATATTAACGTGCAGTTATTGTTTACACTCAGAATACAGAACAAACCAGAAGGCGTCAACGCGCTTCAAACTGAAGCAACTAAAACCACTCATAACTAGAGTAGTATGAAATTTCTACGATTAGTCAATTTTGGCACGTGGCATGTCGTGACGTATTTACGAGTATCAATTTTAATTCCATTATGCCGTCTTGTGTTATTCCTACGACTAAAAATGCGGCTGGAATTACGAAAAAAGTGGATAAGATTACATTTCATTTGCAAGCATCGACTGCAATAGTATATTTAATTAATTATTGAATATTTTTTATCGATTTATTTTTTCATGAAAATGATGCGGCCATTTTGTGAGTGTTGTCATTTTTGGTGAAAATTTTACCCACTTATTTATTTTTTGTGAGTTATATTGTCCATTATGGAGCCAATGTCATATTAGTTTCCCTGCCGAATACAAAAAAAAGAAATCATACAAAGGGCACGGTTAGATTAATTTTGGAAACCATCTAGCCAGAGCATAGTTTGCTCAATTCACTTTGAAGAGGTATATTTATGACAAAGGTGGTTTGAAAACAGCATTTTCTACTAAGATATATCTATACTTATTATAATGCTGAAGAGTTTGTTTGTTTGTTTGCTAGAATGCGCTAATCTCAGGAACTAAGTAAAGTATGTAGACTTCTAATCTTTAGTTCCGAGTCTAAAGACAATAAATATTATAAAAAACTAAATCAGCAAAAGGGAACGCAATAAAACCTTCGTACTTATTGAAGCTTTGTTTTATTTGTTGTGTATAGTAGGTCATAATTAACACAGTCAGAAATCGTCAACTTTTCTGATACCTCCATGAAATGTGTGAACAACTACTCTGTTGCATTTATCGTAAGTTTACCTATTTTTTGGGTTTACTTAACAAAATATATCTTACCCTCCTGTTGTAAAATTACCCCAAACCAAGGGGATTGTTTCACTGTCGGCAACACTACGCGGGTGGGAAGTGCGGCTGGCGGGGGGATTGACGTATTGTTTTTGGACACATTTGACGACATGCAATATGAGTGAACGCGGATTCTGGTTTGTTCTGTATTCTGAGGGTAATTAATAAAAAAAAATGAATTTGGAATCTGTCATTTTTATATACTTTTTCATTGTGTTTTCTTATTTTGGCGCCAATAAATTGTTCAATATTTTGCGATATTAAAATGGAGTGGGATGTTATAGAGAACCGAATCGCTGTGATTGCATTACACAAAGTGGGTATGGAGCCAAATGCAATTTTTAAAACTCTCCACATGCTTGGCATTATTCAAATGTTTGTGTACCGGGCTATTAATAGGTACAATGAGACCTCCTCTGTTTGAGACAGAAAAAGATCGGGCCGTCCACGTAGTGTTCGTACGAAAAAGGTGGTCAAAGCAGTAAGGGAAAGAATTCGAAGAAATCCTGTCCGAAAGCAAAAGATTTTATCTCGGGAGATGAAGATAGCACCTAGAACCATGTCGTGTATTTTAAAAGACGACTTAGGACTTGCAGCCTATAAGAGACACACTGGACATTTTTTAAATGATAATTTATAAAAGAATAGGGTGATAAAATCTAAACAACTACTGAAGCGGTACGCAAAGGGATGTCACAGATAAATTTTGTTTACGGATGAGAATTTTTTTACAATTGAGCAACATTTTTACAAACAAAATGACCGTATTTATGCTCAAAGCTCTAAGGAAGCTTCTCAATTAGTCGACAGAGTGCAACGTGGGCATTATCCGACTTCAGTGATGGTTTGGTGGGGTGTTAGCTATGAAGGAGTGACTGAGCCATACTTTTGCGAAAAAGGTATCAAAACATGGGCACAAGTGTATCAAAATACCATTCTTGAGAAGGTAGTTAAGCCCCTTAACAACACCATGTTCAATAACCAACAATGGTTCTTCCAGCAAGAATCGGCGCCGGGTCATAAAGCTCGGTGCACGCAGTCTTGGTTGGAAACGAACGTTTCCGACTTCATCAGAGCTAAAGACTGGCCGTCGTCGTCTAGTCCCGATCTTAATCCGCTGGGTTATGATTTATGGTCAGTTTTAGAGATTGGGGCTTGCTCTAAACGTCATAATAATTTGGACTCCCTAAAACAATCCATACGATTGGCAGTGAAGAATTTTCCCATGGAAAGAGTGCGTGCTTCTATTGATAACTGGCCTCAACGTTTAAAGGACTGTACTGCAGCCAATGGAGACCACTTCGAATGAGCTTTTTATGTTTTAAATTGTTTTATATTTATGTATTAAACTTACATACTGTAAAAGTAATAAATGTTATTTGCAATAGAAAAAATATTTTTTTTTATTTGTTACAGTATTTATGGCTAGACTAGGTATAGGTACCATACATACCTTACTAAATAAAGGGTCAAACCCTAGCGACAATGTTTTAGCAAGTTTTGTCAGCGAATGTGGCGACTTTAGAAATATCTTATATCTTGCATTGTTATCCTCCGAATCGATTGATTTCTGAAAAAAACATAAAAAAATCTAGTTTTCAAGATGGTCAGGTCTATAAATTGAGTATCAAACTAACAAGATTTCCTGCAGTTAGGTGGAGTGACGCTTCCTTCGTTCCATCTTCGACGTCGTCGTTCACTTAGCCTACTTTTCTCGGTGACGTAACATACATACATTGGTACTTAGTTTGCAGCTTGCTGTTGGTAATGTAGTATAAAGCAGACGTTTGACAAGCATAAACGATAAGTTCTAGCAAGACATTAAAATCTTTTACTTATCTTACATTTAGAATGTCTCCTCTATTGTCGTACTTTTGTGATAGTCAATACCAAGTATCTACCAATAAACTTATAAGAGAGTATCTATAGTAGTTTGCTTACACGTGTCAATGGCTGATTTGTCCACACAGATTCATGTTTCAATGCGTTTGCTGTCGTCGGCACCTCATTCATCGGTGTTTTTAATGTAGTCTTTGTTTGCATCTCTTTTGGTAACTCTTGGGTAGCTGAGAAAAAAACAAACGGCTTTAGAAGTCTTTGTTCTGTTGCTGGTGTAAGCGCGGGACCATGCGGCTCATAGCGCAAACGGAAGAAGCCCCCCAAATTGTCGAGGACACCCAAATGCTTTAAATTAAAAGCTTCACCATCCGGTGTCCTAGAGTATGATTTTAAAAATGATATTCTGTAACTTATAAATCCTAGTCTACCGTAGACGATGTTGTGCCTCATTTCCATACTTACTTTGCACTAACAATTGCTACCTATATTTGCAGCAAACAGGAGAGACGCCATAATTGGATCTCGCTCCATTCTAAAATTTACTTTGGCTTGGCGCTGTGTATGTACTGGCACAGAATTAGGTCCGGCACTTAATTACAGTGAGCTACGCTTTATTAGAACTTCTAAAATATCGACCAGGACTGCAAAAAGGTTTAGGTACTTACATTTGAGTATTAGGTACACATGATAATCTACCTATTCAAAATAACCTCTAAACACTGATATGCCATCAATAAATCATGATTTATTTTAATTATATTATATATACCTACTTTATTGCACACATACACCAAGTAGCAATACATTGGATACTATGACCGAATGTTGTGATTACAATGGGCGGTCTTATCACACAAGGTGATTTCTTCCAGACAACCTTTAGATGGAATGTATAAATTTTGGGGACTCCACCCCAAAAATGTAGGTAGAGCTTTTTCCCTTTCTATTTTTTTGTTATTATCATAATTCGTTTCACGGAATACATGTAGATACATACCAAGTTACAACAATAGGTATAGGTCTTATAGTACCGAAAAAAAAGACATACTGACATACTTATATCTACACACGTAAAGACAGATCGCGTGATGGATCGATTGAGAACATACGTAACCCTAAAAATGATTAGGTATTAGGTACCTACAATGTCCTTTTAATTGAGGGGGAAAATCTTAAATCGGCCATCTTACATCCTGTTGCTTCACCTGCTCTGGGCCGGGGTCGCAGTACATTATTGCGCAATCCCGAATTATTCACAAAACGTAGTCGAAACGAGAAATTTGAAACGAGAAATTTAGGTAGGTACCCACTTGTCTTAGGTAAAGTAGGTACATCGTGCATTGGATTTTTGTAATCAGTTATCAAGCCATCAAAGAAGATTTCAAACTAAAAAATCTGGTAAGTTACACCAAAAAATTGGTAAATGTTTCATTTAAATAATTGAAAAAGTTCTTTAAAAGTAATTAATTCGTCAAAAATAACCTCATTTTGCTTTGTGTCTTCGCCTAACAAGTATATTTACAAGATGTATTATAGCTGTGGTAGTTATGAGCGTTGTTTTTTTCCAGTAACTTGATATGAGAAAACTGTGTCATACGTCATTTAACCTCATTAGTCCCCTTTCTACGACATTGTCATACAACCAGCCTTGGGACTGCCTGACCTACATTCCATAAAGCTTCAATCACGATTTTAAAACCGATGTCCTACTAATAATCTAAATTTAAAAACAGTGATTACCTACTTTAAACTTTATTTTCGTCATTATGATTATGATATAACTTACTTAAAAGTTATCTATGACCATAATGACGAAAATAAAATACCATGTAAAAAAATGAGGCGTAGATAGTAGATACCACGGAGTAAGAACATAGGTGGCCACTCAAGTACTATTCGGGATAGTCGGCCGTCCGTGCCTCGAGCGACGTTGCCTGCCCACTGCCACTTTAACCTGCAGATTTTATGAGCTACGTCGGTAACTTTGGTTTTTCGGCTTTTCCATTATTTGATTTTTTGGCGCAGAGACCCCGTGCATAGCCAATGGCGCTAAACGTCTCTGAGTCTTGCATGCAGTCTTGCATAGCATGCGTTAGATATACTACCTAACTGAATGATCTGACCAAGGTACGTGTAGTGGTCTACAACTTCAAGGATGTCGTTCCTAATGATGGCCGGTATAGGTACGAGGACTAGTACGAGCTACAAGTTAGTTTAAAATAGTATCTAGGTAAATGTAACATCAACCGAAGACGTCTATTGCTGTACCATGGCCTCCCCCTTAAATCCTCCACAACGAACGACAATTTGCCACTTATACATTTGTTCTCTGCATACGCTACGTCTTCGCTGGTCCCAAATTGAGCAATTTTTAGATCTAAGTATTTACCGATTTGGCATGCCCATTGTTTATGGCAGCGCCGCAATTTGCAATGTAGGATTTTCGATGAGACGATTTAGCATAACTTCCTGAACGCTCCAACTCGTATGTGCCCATCCGAGTTGCTTTCTTCGGGCGACCACTTTATCGGATCTTTAGGAAGTTGGTCCTACCTCGCTACATAATCTTTCTTAGATATATGTTGTGGTTTCCTAGATATCTATAATTTCGAGGGTATCGTTTGTACGATACAGGTGTAACACGGACATTTGACGTTAGCCTCGTCTTGTCTGTGATCATCTTAGGGCGATCTTACCCCTTCTGGGTGCACGGTGTTCAGGGTATTAAACTACTTGGTCACAAAAACTTTATCTTTCGATAAATGTAACAAGAGTTAGTAAATACGTAAGTTGGTACTTACATGCTGTAAAATGTGCCAAAATAGGAAGAACAGACAACGTAATAATAATGTACATCTTAATAAGTAATTTCTAATTATTATGTTCTACAATAAGCGTGTTAACCTCACTGAATTATGGATGGAACTATCAATACTCCACTATATCTCGTTCTGGTTGAAATTCCGCGAAAAATATGTTTATTGTTTACTTCAACTTGTAAACATTTTATGTTACGCAGGAACGCGCGGCGTTTCGAGGCTATTCCTCGAACGCACATTGTCCCTTTGAGCTTTGTAATTAAGGTAACAATCAGATCATATTCATCAAACATGAGTCTATAGTCTGTTCCCTGTCTCGCATTATAATTGAACACTATTTAACAGAATCCCCTTACCTTAACAAAACTATGCTTACCTACCTACAAGTCTACAAAGTTCTCTTAAATCGAACCGATGATAGAAAAGAACTAAGTACTTATGTTCATATAGGTTTTTTTTACATATTTATATTACACGCAGAGTACCATTTAGAATAGCTTCGTAAAAGAACAATTATGAGCATTCATGCATGATTACGTATGTGCTTCGGCCGGAACGGAGTGATACCACGACCTAGATAGGATAAAACAAGCGTGAAACAACACTTACCTACCCTACGTTTAGCTTTCGCCGTGAGTGAGAGGTCACCAGATGACCAAACCATATTCACCTCCTCTTCTCAACTTCCCCGCATTCTAAATCCAACTTATCAATATTGGATCAAGTACCTAAGTAGTGGGCAAGTAATTAGGTTAGTACCTACCTACTCGTAGAAGGCAGCCATATGACGATTTTGTGAAATAATATCTAGTATTCAGGTGAAATAAAGCCACCAGAGAGTCTACCTTTTTGATCTTCAGGTAAAACTGTTATATAGGTAGGTACCTAAGTATTTTTAGAATTTGGCCAAAAGTTCGATGATAAATTCTTGCTTAGGTTTAATGAAGTTAAATTAATTTGCCCACATATCATCGCGAAATACTCAACCATTTTTTTATATTACCTAATTTGAATGCACTAAAGTTAGAAAGTAGTAAATAAAACTAAAGTTAGAATAATAAGTAGTTTATTCGACCTCAGCCAGGTCGTCTGTCACATTGTAGAGAGTGGCATGACACGGGGCGCGTGCACAGGGCCTGCGCTGCTCCTCGCGCTCGCCGGGCGCGCATCGGCCCGCTACACACAGCCGGTACCGCGTGATAGTGCCAGCGCCGCACGTCACTGAACAGTCTCCCCATTTACTCCATCGACTCCAAATTTTCCGTTTCTTCATTGTTTTATCATCTTCGCACGAAACTGTTTAGACCAAAAATAACATATGCACTAGATACTTATCTAAATATAAACGTTTCCTCGATGGGCGGACCGTTTGGGGTGGTTTCCGATATGAATATGCAAGGGGTGGGTCACTACTGCATAGAGCGCTCCCCGCTACCCCGAAATGGTCAGTACCTCCATCGCCTCCTCCATTTGCAACAAAACTGACGTGATTGGTCGCTAGGAATCATCGAATCATCGCTCACGTATTGGCAAGCACACAACTACATTGGATATGTAGGTATATAACTCAGGGACATGATTTCACATGATGATATCTACCACTATAGGGTGATTTTGATTTGATGATAAAAAACTTTACGAAGCATAGGTATGCCAAATTTTAATTTTTCAATGTATTTACATATGTATTTGTTAGTATTTTATTATCAACAAACCGTTCCAGCTTCAAAAGGGTGGACATACCTACCTTTTTTATTTTTATTCCCAGCAATAAATGTAAGTAAGTAGGTAGATACCTAATTCATTATATTTATTGTATCTATCTATGTTACGCAGAGTGAATATCTATAACTTTCCAATGGCGAAAGAATTTATTAATAGAACCAAAATTAATGAGATTGTAAAATAAAACAATTATAAAAAAATAATTTAAGTACTTATACAAAGTTAGATATACAAAGTGTGACCACATCTATTAGTAGAATCAATAAGACGTAGGTACCTAAATGTTAACTTGCGGCAAAAGAGAAGATACCTAATTGATTACCTAGGTCAAAAACAAATTATTAGGTAAGTATATGTTGATGATAAGTACCTAGATAACTATATCTACTGAATGGCATTTATTTCTAAATTATAAGAAGGTTCGAAAGCGACTGAGGAACTATTAGATACCTACCTACTGCAAAATATCTGTAAATATACATTTTTTATTTTTGAAGTGGAAATACCTATACTGTGCCTACGTATTTCAAAACTTCTTTCGATCAGAGAGCCTCAATAAAATGTACCTACCTATATACATTTATTGCTAAGAATATAAAACATTCTTAGTTCTACTCAGGTTTTACCCGCACGAACCAGGACAGGCCGCGCTAGCTTTAAGTACTTACTTATAATTATGTTATTGCTTCAATTTTGTTTGTTTACAGTTACTTATATTTCATTCTCGTTAAAGTTTTTTTTGGTTTATTAATATTTTTTACCTATGGTATCTAAGTACTTACCTATTTGTCTTCTGTTCCGGATTCTGTTGGAGGACTAGCGGCAGAAACTCCAAAAGAAATATAGGTACCTACTTACTGTTCACTACGTAGATATGGGCAGCACTTGAATAAATACAAAACAAAATAGTAAGTTGCGGACCTGGGTCATAATCCGAATCGTCAATCTCCAACATTTGTTTATTAAGTTTCGGGGAATGCCCGACAGTCGTTGAGGTTTGTTTCACTTGCACAGCTTTATTTTTATGTTGTTCTTCCCTAACCAGATCAATCAATTCAACAGGACTTAACAACAGTTTATCCTCCTTTCTTGTTCTATGACCATGTGAAACGCTGATGACAATAGCTATCAAAAACAATATTTTCATTGTGCAGGTACAAGTAAATAAACCAATTCGAAAGAAGCCACTGAAAGCAAATGAGACACTGACATTTTATGCCAACGGCAAAAATATGAAAATCATCGCAGAACAATGATTACCAAAAAGTTATAGAGTTTAAGTATGGTAATTTTATCTTTTGGTAAACACACCCTCAAAGGACGTCTTATTTTTGACCTACTACACACCTATCTCCACTGGTCCTCTTTGTGCTCATTAGAAGTCCTAGATCCCTTTGACCTCTAGGATTAGTGAAGTTTGCACTTTATATCAAGGTACCTAGGAACCTTATTTAGTTTGGGTTGGTATGTGGTTTTCTTCTAAGTAGAGCTCATTAATTTTATTAACGGGGAAAGCTTCCCCGCGACCAAGTCATTTTTCTGTTTTATATCTAAAATTTGACTTCAGCACCTTATTATAGGCCCGGCTGAGAGGACGCAAAGAAAGGAGTTGGTTTTAGTCAGTTATGTCTGATAGGTACTCTCTCTCGCTAGAACGGAAAAAGCCATTCGATGATATCCCCCTTCAAAAAAGGGCCCAGTTGGGCACTATTACTCCGCTGTCAAGAAGGATGAGCGACAAGTGCGAATTTGGGTTAAGGTTTTAGTCTTCAATCTTCAGAAGTATAATTTATCAAAATACTCAAATTGAAACTTTAGGTAAATGTAAAGAATTCTTTCTACGAGTAGGTAGCAGAGTAAGACCTCAACCGGCGATAATATCGACGATGTATACATAGATATATACATATAGACATATATAGATAGATATAGACGAACCAACGAACTGACTGACTGATAAACTAATTTAGCTATCTATCTATCCATCTATACGTACCTACAACTTAATCAGAGAGTTAGTTCGTATGACCTGACTCCTACAGCAGTTTTGACGTAGTTGTGTAGAGAGATAACAAGGGTCCCCTAAATATAGCAAATATTATATTGTAGAGAAAGTGAATTACCCAAATCATTGCCTAAGTGCCACCTTTTATTATGACGAATTTTTGCGCTTAATTATATAAAGCTAGCGATCCGCCCGGGTGCATATAAACCTGCTTCTTCAATTAGGCACTCTATCTAACCGCTTTAAAATTCGTTGCGCAGTTTTAAAGACTTATGCATACCTGGAGATATAAGGACAGAAAAAGCGACTTCGTTTTATAATATGAAGTTAATAGACTGGTTGAAGTAGAATACATATAAATATACTTAATTTCTTTTCTTAAGGAGTTAAATTTGTACGGATGAATCGCACGCTTACAAAGAAAAAGGTTAAATATATTTAAACAGTTAGTTAGATAGTCATTAGTCTTCATCTGTTACGATAGAGTGCCTAAGAATAAGGATTTTCATTTTGTGTTGGATAACCATACAATAACACAAAATTAAATGTAATTATGAGCATCTGTCATCTTGAGTGTAATCAAGGCTCTTTCCCTACATAATTATATAATTATATTATATTATATTATAATTATAAGTTTTATTTCATGGAGCACTCAAGCATTTACAGTCAAAAAGTAATATTTGATGAGGTGAAACTGAAGAAGATCGGAAATGGGTGACGAAACTTGACACTCGCATAGATATCACAATCAAGGTAGTTAAGCAACTATGAAAATGCACTATAAACCAATGTAAGTAGGTATAATAAACATGCAATTAATTTTCATATCATTTATTCTCGATATTTCTTTGGTTAGGTACACCTTATACAATATACTTACTACAGATACTGAATCTTAAAAAAATATATACATATGAATTGAGATCTATCCTCCTTAATAAAGACATTGAAACATATTAAAAATGATCAACTCATTGGATATTTAATATGTTGGATTATAAACATTAAAAATAAGTGCTTGTGAACATTTATTTGTTGACATTCATAGGGCAGGTTGCACACATACACTCACAAAATTACTTAGACTAGAGTACGCACGTAAGTCAATGGCATGTACGATATTAAGGGACCGATGAGTGTGAAAATAATTCATTTCGACAACATTTAGATATCACTTTATCATTTAGATGAGGTACCTATTAATTAGGTTTTGTGAACACATAATTATAAATACAAGAAAAGTTCCATACGCACACGCACGCAACAATTCAAACTTCTCTCATACCATAACTAGTTGCTTGTGTAGCAATAATTAAAAATGTATAATTACAGCTAGGTAATACATGGACAAATACAACACAATAAAACTCCACGCGACTAATGCCAATATAACTTTAATATCGACCTCTATCACTGGCTAACTGTCCTCAACCATCTCTATATCTATTGCTACCTATTGTTCTCGTTAAATGAGCTTTCCTTATTTGCCTCTGTGGTTTGGAACGAATTTAAATATTACAAACTATATATTATATTGTATACATTATCTTCATAAATCTTATCACAATCGGTTATGAATGACGATTATCACCTATTTGTAAACCGCGCAGCACAGGGGCATTTCATATTGCATTTATTTTATTGTCAATGCTTCTCATCAGTGATTAATGTTATTTGTAAGTATTCCATTTATTGCCACAGCCTTGTTATGTAGGCACAATTAATTATTTGTGTATACCGTTGTAATTAGGAGGCTTAGAGTGCAGTGGGCACACATGCTTGTATTTTGGAGTGAATAAAGCCGCACTTAAGGAAACTTTTTCTAAGAGTATTATGTCTAGACTGTATGTCATAATTTTATTATTTGTGTAATACTATGGCCGGTCTATGAATCAAAATGGTACAATAAATCGAATAAATACAACCACCTCAAAGAACGGTTGAAGGTATAGCAGACAGATTTAGTACAAACATGAAGGGACATTAATAACAAATTGTAATTATTTCTTATAATATTTTTTACATGTATTAGGCCCAGATACAAATTTTAATATTACGTCGGGCGATTAAAGAATTAGTTATTGGAATTAGACAGACGCAAGCGAGAGTTGTATAGCTGATCATATTAAAATGTGGCTTTGTGAATAATTTCGTTTGTGCAAGATGAGGAGTGTGCAAATTTTAAAGTCCATGTTAATAATTACCTACATTGTATGCTTTGAAAGCAAGATAGATAAACGATGACAATATAGGTACATACAAAGGAGATCATATGGAGTCCCATACATTTTTGGACCTATTTTGAGAGTGTAGGTTAACAAGACCAATATGACGAGAAATTTGTACGATCCAAGACATCAAGTATATCTATCTAATTAATACCATTTGTTATCAGACGACCATATAGTACAAAATTTTAAGTAAAATAATACTAATAATAATGAACCCCTTATTTTCGAGTGTTCCTCGAAAACTTCCAATGAAAAATAATTATTGGTACTGACAGAGATAAATATCTGAGCTATTGACATTATAACGTGACTTGTATAACTCCTATCATCGATCCTAAATTTTCAAATGCTGGTCCTAAGAATACGCGCCACTTTGTTTCTGTATTACACTTTCAAAAAAGGTCCGTAAAGAATGATCTCATTTCAATTATTAAATATATTTAGCCATCACTACAATTATTTACAAAGGGCACGTTAACCCATTTTGTATATTCAGACTTTTGAGTAATGTCTTTTAACTTTGTTGGTATCGATTAGAATATTTAACAATTTTACTATCCAAAATTTTGTTTTACATTAGTTTTAATATTGAGAAATTAGATAATAAGCATAAACATGACATTCAATGTTACCTAAGGTGTATTACGCCAAATCAACTGTCAAATAATCAAATACGAATCGATTAAACACTAAATCGATTTATTTTCGATCGATTGATATTCGATTGTTTGGCATCGGATTTTGCTCATTACAGCCACTAAAATAGTTTCAATATACATCAACAAATAAAGTTAAGAGATCGATTTAATTTAGGTTTACTTATAAACTATGACTTGAAGTGCACAATAGAAGGTGTCGAGAAAGTTATTAATTACATTTACTAGATAGCATTTAGCCATATAACATAAGAATCTTTCAGTCTATCTAAATCCACTAGCACTAGAATCACGTGACTAGATTTGATTAACAGATTTATGTGTGATGAAGTCTAAGATTTTTTTATAAAATTATAAGCTACTCAGGTCACAGTGGTAACTAACTATATTATACAAAACCTAAGGATTGGCATTCATGTGGGATCGGGCAAAGCAATATATTCATGGCGGAGTTGCTTGCCAGTTCTGTTAATTGAACGTGGCTTGTGATGCTCCCGCATGTCTATACGTGATGACGTATTAGTTAGAGTCCGATCCCCTTTCATCAAATGAACTACAATACCGAAATAATTAGCTACATAAAACAACAATCAATGTATAAGTTTTCAATTTAGTACATTTACTTTATCCGATTCATTTGTTTACTTACATTAACTAACACTATACTTGAGTTAGCTAGGAAATAACATAATATTTACGCTTATAAAATATAGCAAGATAATAACAATTGTTATAGTATATAATGTACATATATATTAACGAATTAATAAAAACTTGCTTAGTACTACATTGATAGAGGATGTTTAAGTAGGTACATGTAGTTATTTAAGGCAACCTATTGGGTATGGAAGTTATCAGTCACGATATTATTGCAGGTTTGTAAGTATTACTTAATTAAGGCGAATAATTTCGTACAAACTCCTATGTTATGACTGTTGATACAACATAGTATGTGGTTAGTGTGTGAACCCATGCTAGGTTCGGGGGGCTCTTACTATCAATATTTCTATTTAATACAGATCAAAACTTCTGAAAAACGTTGAATTAGTTAGAAACAACTAGATATTATTTATTTGTAAGTTAAGTTAAACGGTTAATACTTGTATAAACGTGAGGAGAACAGGACAGTTCAATCCGTTTCTGACTATTTTACCTTAACCTAATAAAATATTGCATATGTGTCTCATTCGTCCCGTTATTTCTAAATAGGTATTCTTTTGTTAATTATAGAAAAGTCTAGTAGTACTTCCGACTGATATTGCGAGTGTCCTAGGTAAATGTGGTGACCGTACAACTGTATCCTTCCTCCTTAATTAAATATTGGCCGTACGTTATATTGCGATAGTTTAAATAAATATTAATAATAATACATATCTTACACGTATAGTAAATAAATCGTCCTCTAAAGCGTATAATTTGCAAGTATATCTATTAAATATACGCGAGTAAGGTCGAGTATTGAGTGACCTGTTTCGAGTATTTACACGAACCTTACGTTACATCACAATTATCTCTGAAAATGAAAATATATTTTATTCAACAACTAAGTTGGTTGGTTGGTTGACCTCTCCTTTTAAGTGCGCAAACACTATAAGATACCCTTTTCAAAAATTCTTTTTTTATTGAACTGTTACCGAGTATCATGTACCCAATACAAACGATATAAAATACTTTTGAGAGACATATTAGTAAAGTAACTAGTGCGTATAAAACAGGTCGCTCTACATCAGACCTTTACAAACGCAATTATTTTGATAATATTACCTGGTGTTGAATATTTGTTATGTTCCATCACAATGGGAGCGTTGCCAATAAATAACTTCTAACTGGTACTTGTATATTGTCATTGTATAATAATAATAATATCTATAAAATAACATTTTGCTAAGCGATTTTGTTTTATTGCTATCTTATGGAACTATTTTATTATAATTTTAGAATGTGTTCTAACTAGTCGTATCTAAATACAGGCAGCCGATGTACAATGTTTTTGGAAAAATATGTTAGGTAAGTAATTGCTTTACCGACATATTTTATTTCTCATAAGTAAAATAAAATCCAATAGCAGCGTTAATTCCATTTTAAATAAGTTAAAGTGGAGACAAACCGGCCGATCATCCTTTGTCTTAGCGGACTAATAAGCTTTTACTATATTTAAGAAAACTTGAGTGGCTTATCACTCCTTGTACTTAAGGTGCCAGGTGGACCAAAATGTTTTCAACAATCAATTCGGTTTTAATATAGGTAAATTCAGGGTTGACGCGACTCTCTGTGTGGATCATAGTAAATTTATTTGGGCACATATATCATTTTTTTCAAAGCGTGGTGATTTATGGTACTTCTCAATATGAAAGCCGTGCTTTAGTGATATTTACAATGTACAGATATTTGGTCCACAGCTCAGTAAAATTGATTCTCTTTTATTGGCTGGTACCTGTGGAAATTAGCTTTGAATAATTTGTCGCCAATTTCATATGGTCCTTTTCTGAGTGCTTTTGGGTACGCGGATGATGATGTATCTACTATACAAGCAAAATAAGCAACAACTTCGTGTTGTTTTATCAACCGATTTAGATTTACTGCACAGTCGCCAAATCTCAAAATAAAGCAGGTTTTAATTTCAAGCGAGCTGTACAAGGGCTGCCTGTATTTTCCTTTCCAAAGACCTGACCTAAGCAAACTATGGTATGTACCTACGCATCTTAGGAAAACCTCCATCCATATTTAGTCATAGATCAATGAAGGTCGTCACAGCAAAGTTCCTATTATGCGAAACACTATCTCATTGCCTTAGTCGCGCAAACTATTTACATTTATTATAATTTCATTTTTAGAAATAAATATTAATTAAAAGGTTTTTGTATCTTTTAAAATACCATTACCTTTTAATTATAATACCTGAGGATAATAAATTCAACGTTATTAATTTACACCATTAATGTTAGGGCAACAAAAACTATTGAATTTAAGGTGTGATAACTGTAACATAATTAAAGTATATTAATCAGTTGACAAATATCCAATAATTTAAATTTCTAAAATGGCTGATATAAGTGGACCATTTTGAGTTATGTACCTATATTTTAACTAAATTCTACTAAACTGTTTAGAACAATATTAATTCGACTATTTATGTAGATTTTGTTTTTGGTTATGGCAAGAACAATGTGACTAAGGATAATTTTACTCGACTAAGACAAGGTGCATGCATCATTAAGTATTGTGAATCGTCAGCATTTCGATTATCCCTTTCCCTTGCCATTCGTCAAATAATACGCAACGCAAGCACGCAAACACTAACAGCTGCTCGGGTACATAAATAACGCTCAAAACAACCCTACGATATGCGTACAACATCTCATTTCTAATAAAATCACATAATAAAATATCTTAATATATTTAGCGAAGCCCTGTTCGTAATATTCTATCAAGCAAAAATATATTTAATTTAAGGCTTTTCGTCTTTCAAGGACCACTCAATGTTTCGAACGAAATTAATCTAGATATTATTTTCTTTTAACAAAAATATACATAATATCAAGGGAAAATATCGTTCGTCTCTACACTAAAACAAAATGAGTTACTTGTACATAGGTGCTACATTATTTTATAGATTCTATGAACATTTGCAGCGGTTTTATAAACGATTCCATGGATAAAAGATTACAAGTAACGAGAGTATATGAATATTTATGTTACTGGACCCAAGAGGCAGGCACCCACAGCGGCTCCGACTGCACCCGCCAAGCTGTCTTGAGGAGCTTCGAGAGGGCGCTGGCCAGGTCCTCGTTCACGATCTCCTCGTCAAACATGTAGCCGTACAGGAAATTGATGCGGTTTGACGACCGCACGATGTCTGACAACTCTTCTTCCTAAGGAATCAATCCACAATCTCAAACATCATTATCGAACAGTAATCTATACTAGCACTGACGAACCCTCCCCTAAAACCCCGCATATCAAATTTCACCGTAATCGATAGAGAGCCGTTTCCAAGACCACATGCTTTTTCAAGCAATCAGCGCTATCTGCTGGGCTGATTTGTGGATCTATACCGGGCGCTACTTAAACGCATACAAAAAAAAACATTTTAATCGGTAAAGCCTTTTAGGAGGAGTTCAATGAAATACACACTTATTGCATTGTAAATATCTTATAATTAGTTGTGACTTACAGTGAAAGCCCGGGAGCATTCCTTGTCGAAAGTGGACCGCGCATTAGCTGCTGTCCTAGTCTCAATGAGGCGCTCGTGCGATGGCGGTCTGATGAACACGATGTAAGGCCGCAACCGAGGCGTGCGGAGCATCTTCAAAGCTTGCCAGTGAGGACTTAATACGCAAACGCGACCTGAAAATAATTTACATGTCTTTCCGTTTAACAACAAAATAGCTTTCGTAAAAACTGTATCTACCGACGGCATAACGTAATTCCCTTAATGCCATATCATACATTTAATAGTATTATGTAAGCCCATAAAGGTAACATTTCGCAGTCAGTAAGCACTCACCCGAATTTATAATGGTCTCGACGCTCTCCGCCGTCGTTCCATATAAATTGCCCTTATATTCACCGTGCTCAATAAATTTTCCATCCGCTATATCCTGTTCCATTTTGTCACGACTGACGAACATGTAATCTTTACCATTCTGTTCGCTCGATTTTTGTACACGGGAAGTGACTGAAAGTATTTTTAAATTTCAAATAGCGTTAAAGGTAACTTGTAACAAGTAATTATATAAAAAATGTGTTAACTGAACTTACATGGTATGGGTGTCACATATTTTTCAGGGTCGGTAGCAATAAGTCTCCTGCGCAACTCATTCCTACCGACTCCGGGCGCACCTACCAACACAATGGGTCTGACCATCCCCGGGCGCGGGTATAACCGCGCCACCTCTTCGTACGTCGGTATCATTTCACGGTCAAAATCATCATTTTCTGTAATATCATATATAACCTTTTTGACTTTAGGTGTGGACTTGCAGGGGAGGAGAGCGGTGGCCGACGGCGTTGGTGAACATGGAGTTTTTGGAGCACAGTCCGAGTTTGAATTGGAGACACTGCAAAGGGCCGGCTTGCCTGCGCCGAGCATGCAAAATGGGTAAATGATAATGATTTGTGAAATGATAGCGAAAGGAACATGCAACACAATGAATTTGTAGAATTTATAAAATATGATTTACATATTAATGGAGCAATCATAATTATATCAGCACTACTGTATCAATCGCCATTGCCTGTTGCCAACACTTATCAATTAGTTAACGTAATCAGTAAAACGCACCATCCAATGTTTGTGGGTCTGTTTGTCTTTCATGAATAATGCGACCTTCTTGCAGAGCTCTTGACGGTATCAAACCTGCTCTCATTACTCTATCGCCTTCCCTTCGAGCTTGCCACCTGAATACAAAGGCAACAGTAAAAACCTTCGCTTTTTGTAAGTGCCCAAACAGCAATAGAGATATAATACTTGCCAGTATGCATCATCTTGAGACACAATGTGTAGAACGTCTCCTTTTTTGAAGTCAAGGCCAGCCTCCTTGCAGGGTATGTAAGGGTCTTCTGAGGAGTTGTAATCGAAGAGAGCGCGCACTCTTACTTTACTCTCTCTTGAACCTCCTTTGCCAAATGAAGGTACTAATTTAAAGGTGATAGTGCCTTCAGAACTTTGCTGTGAAATGGAAAGGTATTAATGAAGTTAGCTTGGTTACATCAACAACGAGCATGTCGGGGTGGGTATTATAAACGTACCAGTATCGATAACACATCAGCCGGAGTTTTGTTCTCCACGCTGATACCGTTGACTTCGATAACTTCATCGCCGGCGTGGATCAACCCAGATCTGTCAGCGGCTCCGCCGTGCATTACTCGTGCTATCACGATTTTCCCGGTCTCTTCATCTGTCTTAATCGTGGCTCCCTGTCGTACGAAACATGTCTAAATATTGACATTCAGATCGACTTTGACACCTTCTTTATGTTCTAATGAATCTTGATATCGGAATGTATTAGTGTGTAAATCACATTAACACATTCAGTGCCCCCGACGCGTATGTGCGTTTCCTCGCACGCACATACGCGTCGGGGGCACTGAATGTGTTAAAGGTACTAATTGGAAATAAATCATAATAAAACGACACTATGCAAAAAATCAAACACATGTAGGTTTAATTGATAATAAAATAATAAGCAAGATGTATTGTGTAGGGTAGAGGTGTAGGAAATAATATATTTTAAGAGTGTCGTAATAACACAATACAAATTGCATCAGCATCTAGAGATAGCAGCTAATAATTCTTGAACTTTAAGACATAAGTAGTGGTGATGAAGAATAACAAATACAGAAGAACATCAACAAGATAAATCAAAAAATAGGTGAATGCGTGTACATACACTATGTGGAGAGGATTGAAAATAATGTTGGAAGCATTCAGATGAATAGCATGAGTACTTAACAGACGTCAATACTTACCACTATTGGTTCTGCACTCTGTGCTCCACCCTTTTGATAAAAAACAAATAATTTCATTACACCCTAAATGATGACATGGCGTTTACTCAGTAATATTCCAGAATGTTTGAAACTGCATTTATTATCACAATGATCCATGCACCTGCTTCAGATTTGGTATAGTAAATACATCCTTTACTAATAAATTCATGATATATATTAGCAAACACTTTCACCTATATATAAATCGAATTCTAATATAACTAGGTTAACATCTTATATACTTAGCTGCTATTTCTAAATGAATTTATTGATCCCTTAATCTGTTATAGATAATGATAATTTTATATATCTTACCAAAGGTTCATCACTCTTAACTAATTGAACAATTTTTACAGTTTCTTCTTCATCATCTAGTTCAGGTGGAACATCAGGCAGATGTGGGTAATAATCTTTTTGAGCAACAGCATCATGAGTGCAAAGTATAGCCTGAAGAAAACAATGAAAATAATTATGCTTACCTGTTTAGTTTAATAATAATCACAAATTTAAACCCAGAAGCTATTATCACAAATATATTTTATGATAGAGCTAAAACATGCACACATTTTTCATGCGCCATAAAACCAAAAGTATACATAATAAAGATTTAGGAAAGGACACTGTATTATCTACAATTTCTCTAGCTACAATAACCTGTTTACTAAGCCTAGTTCGCAACTCAATTATTATGGGGTATTATAAAGTGACCTTTGAAATTCAACAAATTACATTGTCCGAAGTAATAGTAAAGTATTATTGATGAGGTTTAAAAGGTATTTTACATTTGTGTGGCCTATTTAGTATTTAAGAATAGTGCATTGTTAGATACTAAAATGGCTTTTGATTCACACAGTTCTACTATAGGGTTTTGAGGGAAAACAGTAGACCACTGGTCAATAAATGAGAACCTACAACTAAATATTTTTTTTGTATCACATTAACTGGCTGACAAAATGTAAAGTATCAATGGAAATGTCACCTAGTTTAATAGATATATTGACCCATACCATATCTATTTTTTTTCCAAAACCCCTAAAATTTAATCAATTGAAATCAGTGTAAGAACTTCTTTATGTTCAATCTCAAAATAACTTGGTACCAATGTAGGTACCTCATTTTTGTATTTGTTTTCCATTTAGGATATGTGTGACATGCAAAGATAAACAAATAAATAGAGCTCATTAAAAAATTCACTATCAATATGAACACACTATGTGAGATAAGTTGGTGGTATTCATATTAAGAGAGATTACTCAATATTAGCCACTTGTCTGCCAGTATATTAGACACAATAGATAACACATTGTGTCTTGCTTAGATCTGATCTCTGGTGCACCATGGGTGCCACCACACAAAACTGGTTCAAGTTTTGTGTTTCATGTTGTAAAGAAAATCTCCTAATCCTCAAATGGTGTTGCGAGTGTCCATGGGTAGGTATGATGTAGTGCTGATTGCTTATATTAAGTGAAACATTTGATTGTTTGCTATCCTGTGACATAAAAGTACATAAAGATATTAGACCAATGAGGGACTTACTTGAAAATGTGGTTTCTGCAATAAGTTAAGTAGTTCTCTATATTCCTTTGATACTGATACTACATCATGGAGTAGCTCAAATACTTCCAAAGTTACTTGCATTGCATTAGACAAGAGAGGATAGAACTTATCATCTTTGCCTTTGGCAACAATTTTATTATGTACTTGAACAAGAGCATGAAGCTGTTTCGACTGCAGCAGTTCACTTAGGAATGCAACATCTTCTCCACCTGATTGTACTTCTTTCAGCGATGTAAGGAGACGAGTGAGGGCTATGAAAATATACACATTGTTTATTTGTAATAGAAGCTAAGAAGTTGTGCAAGGGATATCTGTGATAACTGTAGTGACCGACAGTAACTGCAAAATGTTGTAATTTAGTTGTTATAGAAATTGATAGTTGGCTAGCTGTATCTATATAAAATATTTTGTCCACAGCACATGGCACAAGACCTTTGGAGAACTTGACTAGAGGATATTTTTTCTAGAATATAATATGTATTTTTTATGTTTATGCAAAGGATATTGTAATTTTTAATACTGGTACTGAATTTATACTTTATTATATTCACATTGAAGAGATAAATCTAAACAGAAGTATTGCAATTTGAATAAGAGGTCAATAGATATTTATGATTTTTTTCACATTCAACCATTTTATTACTTATCTGAGTTAATATGATCAGTCAACAAAAGCGTGAAACTGGTTGAGTATACAAAGAGATATCCGTGACAAGATGATACAAGTGAAATTACATAACATTACTGTACACTTACCTGGGTCCCAATGTTCAGTGCTTGAGTCCATATTCACAATATTCCACATCAATTACGCTTTGAAAAAATATTTTTTTAGCTACTGACATTCCACCTAAGAACTCAGCTTAGTAATGTAATAAATTAATATTAGAAATACAACCGCGCCCTAAGCACCTATTACTACTACCAATCATACTGATAAATTTCTCATTTTCACTCATTTATTTTCCACTACGAAAATTATTTCGTTTTGTTTAGACTTTTGGGATTACTATGTTATTGACAAATTATTGTTACTCATTTGATTTAGATGTTTTATAAAGTTCAATGATACCGACAGGGGTACATTGAAAACGGTAAGTATCGATACTAATTTATTAAGGCCGAGAATTTTGATGTACGACAGTTAAGAATTTATAGTTCAACATTATTAATTTGTCTACACAGAACAGAGTTGGAGACTTAAAGCCATTTAAAATAAAAAGCTACACAATCAGAATCAATGGAAATGGCGTTTACGGTTTAATGTTAAGTAAATGTCAAACGTGGAAAATCAATACTTTAACACGCGTTCATAGTATCAATTTTAGGAATTCTAAAGGTTTTTTATAATTCGATATTTAATTTCTCTCATGAAAATGAGATAAATTAAGTTGCTATTTGTTGGTCATGATTGTAAACAACAAAGGTAAATAAACACTACACTACATATCATAGACAATCAATAAATGTAGATATACCTTTTAGTTTAGAGTGCGTGCGAGTGCGAGTTTACGCCTTACGGATACTCGCACAATCCATCAGACATTTTATACATTGTTTAATATTAAAATATAATATCGATAATAATATCAGAATATAAACGTTCTTTGTGGTTTCCCGGAACAGGAGAAGGAAAGAGGGAGGTTTTTGGTCAGTAAAACTTTCAAGAGTCCCTCTCGCTTTCACTCCACTGAGGAGGGTTGAAATCATAAGTTGATTCTCCCCCTTAATTGATGGAAAGCCGGACTGCGTACATTTTGTCTCAATTTGCTTATTATTTTTCGAATAGTCTTTTTATAAAATATGGCTGATAGCGAACAACAAAATCACGAATAAACAATACTTTGGAATTTGTAACTACTCTCTGATTATTTGCTGCCACTTTTCCTCATTTTGGCGTATGCTAAAAAACTCAGTATCCACATCTGATAAAAAATAAAATTAAAAACAAAAGTATAGATTGTTTTCGGTTTTCGGTGTTCATACTTCATCTTGAGTTTTTACTCTTTGGTATTATTTTAATCTTTGGTAGTGAGTCGAGTCAAGTGAGTGAGGAAAACAGATACAGTATTATCAGCTGAAAGGGTTAGTATTGTGTTTTTTAATACGCCCTTAGTATTTGCGAACGAAAATTATGCCGCTAGCGTGATATCTAGAATATCCTGCATATAGTTTGGTGATCTATGCGTACAAATTCATATAATATGCGTATGCCTATCGTCTACTCTGCCTGCTGTGTAAAGAAATCGATTGACCTTTGGTGAAACGCCGATTGTTTACTTACTATTAGCTTTTGGTATCTAAATTGTGTTAGTTTGAAGAAGACCTTTACCGCAAATAAATGTAATCAAATATTTATATCAAGAAATTATCCAGGGATAAAAACAAAATGGGTATGTGGAATATGTAAAATCTCTGATTGACCAGACATTACCAGTGCCGTAAATAGGGTAAGCGTCTGATGAGATTCTATAGCTGCGCCCTTGGATTCTTTAATAACTTTCTTTCTGTCACGTATTACTAGAGGTAAAATAACAATTGTAATATTGTTTATTAGACTACCACACTCATAAATTTTTATTTTACTGAATGTTTCCTTGTTGATCATCACTAGAAAAAATAATAAAACAAATATTGAGATTTTTAGGGGACTAATCTTCCTTCCTATAATATTTTTATGCTTAAAAATTACTAAAAAAATTATATGTTTAAAACTTATAAGAATGCAAAAAATCAAATATAAAGTATAAGTAGATTTTCTGTTAAGATTTACATAAAATAACAAAATTTCGATCAAAATCAAAGTGAATTAGGGCTTAACCTGGTTTCATTGTAGTATTTAATCTCCAGATATCTTAAACATACATTGGTATTGACAAGCAATTGGAAAATGGTTTAGATTTCTTGTGAAATCTTTAAGAAAAGTTATTAGAGTATGAATCCTCTAGGGAAGTTCCTTCACTGTTACATTGATGTCTAATTATGGTATTGGTTACTGTTATTGGTTTCTTAATAGTGATATGAGGTGGTGTAGTGTTAACAACTGATCTTCTCTGACTACCCCTCAAAAATAAAAAAGGTACATAATATTATGTGTCTTAAGATTGTATAAAAAACTGAATACATTATAAAAACTAGGTTTAAATCTTCTTCTATATTACAATTACTAAATCTAAAAATAGATTTGACATCACTATGATGATTACCATATTCATAGGTCATAAGAACCTGCATCATGCTGTCATCATTCCCATGGCACCTGTTATTAATTGTATATCTATGTATTGATCTTGGTTTTTTTTTCATACATGTATTTTTTTGTTGTAATACTAGTAGTAAATGGTTTTCAAGTATTTTTGGATGATGATGATGATGATGATTTGGTTTTGGTGGGTTTAAACTGTATGTCTTATATGCATGATGTTTTTTTTATAGGATTATATGTTCCTCACAACTGTTAGATGTTTTAATAAGACTGAACATAACATAATATTGTATTTACCTTTATTTCCTTTGAGCGGAGGTAGTAGGCCCTTCGATTAGCTTCAAAACAATGGAGTATAAACTCTTGACTGTAGACTAAATTAATTTTTCAATGATAATTGTATATTGTTATTGGATTGTTATCACATTTTAATTGATTGGATATTGGATAAGTGGAAATAAGATCTATTACTATTATAGACAATGTTGAAGCTGTTATAGAACTCCGAATGAAAGTTCTTATTTGGTGTGATCATGTTCTGAAGACTTATGCCTTGCTCTCATTATTAAATTCTATGGTCAATATAACAACAAATACTTAAACATAATAATAAATATAAAAAGTCCTCATAAAATGTACATAAAATATATTTGAGTCTGTCCACTGCTTGTGTGTCCCACTTCACCAGGCTGTAATAACCAGAAAGTAGAAATTTTCACTGATAATGGTATTTTTATTATTAGTTATTATGGTGTGACACTATTAATGTTCAAGACCATCTTGTAATTTGTTGTCATTCTAAAAATTTACTGGCAAATATCATTTGTGCTGTCTTAATGATAATGAAAAGTTTTTTGATGTCACAGTCGAACACAGACCATCTGTTTCCAAACAGTTTGAAATAGAACTGTAGTATTTAACTAAGCTGAGCAATTTCAGTTGTAAAAAATTGACAAGGATGTTATGATTTATATTTAAAATTAGCTTTCCACAGTTGTTTTACCCGCTGCTCGATTCTCATTGGTTGTGATATTGCATAGGCTACAGTTTTCCTTCCTCGAAAATCGATATAACAATAAAAAACTAATCCTACACAAATATTATTGTGAAAAAAGAATTAGTATTTCTGGAGATTGGTGCCTTTAAATAACTCTACAAACAACTTTATAATCTTATGATATTCTACAAATATGATTGTTCTTTAGTGTATAGAAACACCTAGCAATAGTTAAATATTATTTCTTTATAAATATACAACACCTGAATTCAATGATGTCAATAAGCGTGATCTTGAATGAGCCGTTTACGCGCGTCATTTTAATACTAACAGAATACAATGAGCAGGCCATGAGCATTCAGTCATTATATATTCTTTTTATAGCGTCGTATGTGATTGGGATAGCAAATTAGCAACCGTATTTCATAAATATTACAATTATAATGTTACATTGGGAATTAAATGAGGTTTGTTATTGCAGGGTTTATAAATAACAATTGTTTGTAACGTAAACAAGGTAAGGAATAAGAGTCTAGAACAAAACTATAATGAATGTAAAATTGCTATCGAATATTGCGAAGATATTGTTTATGATCCCCAAAGACAGCGCTTAGCAATTCTTCAATACATAGCGGTGTCATAGCCATATAAATGACTTGAGAAAGACAGTAACTTAAAAAGAAACCGGCCAAGTGCGACTGACTGGAGCACCAAGTATTCCATACCAAATTTTTGTTGTACGGGAGTCCGCTTAAATATGTATTTTATTGTATTTGTTGTTATAGCGGTAACAGAAATACATCACCTTTACACAACTGTCTAGCTATTACGGATTAGACACAATTTGATGGCAGACATGCAAACATATTAGACGGAGCGTCAGCAGAGGATTACCAGGAAGTCAAGAACGTCTAAAATAATGTGACCCAAAACTAAATTTTAATCAAAAACTAAATACAATTGTTTACCATGTACTCAATAAGTTAATGAAATTCGTAACGCTATTGCAGGCAGGGTCAAGGTCTTTCAAGTACCTGGTACAGAGTACAGACCCTTGCCATTGTTGGATTACTATTGTCTGCTGTATCTTTCAATCAATGTCATTATTAAACAAACTATTCAATGATAGGTTGCACTAAAAAATTTAAAAAAGTATGCACATACAAATAAAAAAAAAAATAGCAATAAAATTTATTGCCACAAATAGGTCATGGGACCTCTTATCATTGGTTGATTTATCATTTATTTTGATTCAACTATACGCACTCAGACCTATATAAGTGCAGCAAACTAGGTGTGACTTATTATCGAGTGAGATTAGCCAATTGGCGAATAAAAAAATGCTTTTAGATTTGTATTTTTACTGAATAAGCAATATAGGTACCTAAGTATTTTGTTCATCGTATCGAAGTTCAACATTAAATAAAAAAAATGTGTTATTTGTTTCAGCCGTAAGAGATGCTTGATGCCGGACACTCACACGAACAATAAGCCGGGGCCGGCAGATCAGATTTCGGCCTGCAACGAGGAGTCACAACTAGAGCTAGAGCTTCACCTCCAGAGGCAGCTGGAGGATGATGTTGCGAGGTACCCTGATAGTGCACCTACTCTACGAATCCTACACAAACACAGGACAATTTTACCCTTAAATTGTGTATGTTTACCATGCTAAAAATAGAAAAATACAAACAAGTTTCACTAAAGCTTATTGATTCGTCCGTAAAAATAATAGAAACATTAAGCTGTCATTCATCTTGTATTTGCTATTGGTCAAACGAATTAGAAAAGCTAGCATATTATTATTTCTTTGTTGTTTTTTCTGAATGCGGTATTTTCCAACTTTTCAAACTCAACAGGTACTTTTATGAAAAATGTAAAAATAATTAAGTACTTTTTTGTGGAATCCATCAACAAAATTAATTATTAAATATACGTATATTTATATCACACTAACAGTTTTCGGATTCACAGTGTTAAAAAACAGGGGAACAATATGTTTTTGGCTCATACAGTTGCCAATTAATGATTCCCCAACATTCTTAAAGCGTGATATTAAAAAAAATAATTAGAAACTATAAAACATAAAAAAAACTCCAAACAAGCAAGTTACAACAATGCTTAAATATAAATAAGTATATAATTTTATACAAACGTGTTCATAATTTATTTTTGGCCAAGAAAACATCCAAATGTACATTAGTTCCAAAGAGGCGCGCAATTTTCAAGTGGTCTACGTTTTTTTTTAATATTTTTTTCTTATTTGAATATTTATATCTCACAGGAGGAAGACAGGAATACGTTTAAAGGTGATGCTTATTGCCCAGACACGCCAATAGCGATCGTATATTTGGTATAAATCTTTTGTTTTTTTTTTTTGTGTTTGTTTGTTACTTTGTCATATAACATCAATCGTCTTGGGAACTAACCTTTGTCTTAGTAATAAATGTGATTTTACATAACGCGATCTCCAGACCGACCCCGGTATATAGGATATTAACTAATAGTTAACTAGGGATGTTACTAAGCTCCGGTACTAGTTCCGATTTGATATATTAATCTGAAAATTCACCTAGTAACACCTGTTTAGTTTCCGAAAACCTAGTAATTCAATTTCGGTTCCAATACAAAGCAATGTAACATTCCTGATGTAAACTAAAACTGCTGTAACTACCGCTAATTCACTGTTACAAATCTGGCAGATCCATAATATTTTTTTTATTCCATATAAAGAATATGGCATTCTGATTTCGATGATTTTATATTAATTTTGCACTAGACTTGGAAGTTTTCATGATAGTAAGTATAGGTTATTGTAAACATGGTCGTAATGACTTAAGATTAGTACGTACGACCTTCGTGGCTCCTGTTGTTTGGTTATTTCGAAGGGATCGGCTACTAAGGCAGTGAAGCCGGTAGTCACATGCAATTTTGTTAATTGTACCTATCCATCCATTATGCCTGTTTTATAACAATCCATTCTTATGTCATATGAATTAAAATTAATTAATCCAATCTTAACTTATCAAAAACTAGAAAGGTTCTAAGTAGTCAAATCCTTTTTAAACTGTAACAAAAATTGTGCTAACCCCTTTTAAACAATTTTCTTTAGATTGCCCTGTTTGTTTTTCTAACTACTTAGGTGGTGGGGATATGAATTGTTAGTTATTAACTATGCTTCATAAAATTTAATTGTTACAGAATCTTTGATGAATCTATTTACTCTGATCTTGAAGTGGTGTGTGGGAAATTAAAGATACTAACTCATTCTTGCATTTTAAAAGCACGCACTGATCAATTTTTCCACCAACTACATACATTTTTGCATGTGAACATTGAACGAAATACTTTCGATGAAATATATTCTTTCATAAGGTATGGACATAATTTTAAAGTTCTGGTTATGCTAGGTTTTATGTCAATGTTAAATAAAGTTGCTGTACAAATAAAACTTTTTATACTTACATATTCTTCTAGCTTTAGTTGTCTATGGTATGCTTCCTTTAAAAATGTCACGCTTTACTCCGTAACTACTGACTGCTTGTAGTTCCTGGCTAATATTTCCGTACTTTTACTGTGATATTTATAATAATGATAGTGACATTTTTTATGAATATTTTTAAGACGTTTTTAACAATAATTAACTTTCAGATGTTAGCACACAATTACTAAAATATAAAAAAGCGTGTTATGTGTAGATTCCTTACTATACTCTTTTTATTATTATCAAAATGTGTCTATTATGTAGGATTTTTTTTGTCAGCAATATTAACATTCGCACACACATACAAAAAAAATTGAGGCGAGAGTGAACTGACTCCACATTTTGCAACCTGTATACTGTCAGGGTCCATCAGACATTACAGACTAATTTATAAAAAAATAAGAATAGGCCAATGAATTAATTTTTTAATCATTCACTGAGTAAGAAATCATGGCATTTATTATTTAAATATATAGATTGTCGTCCTATCAGTTTGTCTTACAAGTAATAACAAATGTCTAAATGTATTTGTGCCTGTTCCTGTATGTAATGTTTTTACCTGTCAATGTTGTAGTACCTTCAATAATAATAATGATTACCCAAATAACGTTCCTATTTTGTTTTAGCGATGTTTATACTGAATGCAACATTCAACATGAAGAAAAAGAAATAATCAAGTATCTTCAACGCAATTTGAGTGCTTTAAAACCCGTTTCCGTCAAGTCTAGTAAAATAAAAGAAGAAGGTGAGGAACCCGAGGTGTTCTCCACTCCCAAGTGTATTACCCCATATGTAGACAGTGACACCCAAAAAGTTATTCAATCTAGTCCCAGCACGGAATTAACAAAAGAATATTATGCACTAGTTCCAATAGAAGGAAATTTGTTTGAGAAAGAGCTTATCGAGCAAGACGAGCTCTCTAATGCCTTTCATTCTATAATAAAAGGTCAAACAGAAGATAAAAAGTTACAAATCAACAAACCTACTTCGCTACCCTTGAATTCTAGTCATACTTCCAAAACAGTTAAGCATTCCAGTAGCTATAACATTTTAAATAATATTTGTCTAAAAGATAAAACCTCTCCAAAACTTGAACACAATCTAAATACCGCCGCTGATAACGACTTCAAAAGTAATCAGGCATTACCGCCAAGTGATACAGCGGGACGCAACACTTGTAACAAGAACAAGTCTAACTCATTGGATGCTGCATATTCCCCTGATAGTTTAATCACGGATGAGCCTAGTTCTTCTTCAGATTATTTATCTGCAGCGTACACCTTTTCTCCAGGCGTTAACACGTCTGGTTTCCAACACCAAGTAAATGTTGAGAACATCACATCCAAGATGGAGAACATTTATACTTGGTCAGATTCGGGACTGGAGGACCCTGCGATGTTGGGTAGCGTCAATAGTCAAAAGGACGTTACTTTAACAAATGTGTCTTTGTCAGAGAGCACGGTTCATGACTTGGTTGCTGACGATGCAAGTATATCAGCAATATCTGTACCCAGTTCGTTGCCAGAAAATCACCTACAAAAATCGAAGCAGAGCGGCACCTCTCTAGACCAAGATTGCAATGGTCAAAGTAGTATTCCAGAACTGTGTGGCAAGTCACTAAAAGAAGAAAAACAGAGACAAAATGAAGAAATTGTGATACTAGAATCGTCTTCACTCTCCTCTGAAACGGGTTCCTGGGAGTCAGTATATCCACCTAAATTAGTTCAAAAGGAAATTTGCGAAAGATTTCTACTCAACGAACGCCAGAATTATTTCAACTCTTCTGGATTAGTTCAAAAATCACCTTTCAAATCAACAACTTGTTTTATAGATGCTTCGAGTTTAGTTGATGAAGACGAGTGTCTTGAATTAGAAACCACTACTAATGCGTCTTCTACTAACATAAAGTTGGACATTTTGCCTACACCAAGTAAACCGGTACCCTGTTCGACTATTAAGCCGGACAGCAGTCCAGTAGATTGGTCAGAAAGTAACGACAACGATGATTCATTAGAACAAGGTGAAAAAAAGGATCCAGATTCAATAATAAAAGATTTATCACCCACTATTTTTGAAATGACTCCCATTACAGAAGACTCTTTGTGTACTAATGCATTTGAAAATGCAGCTCAATCCGATGTAGTTGCCGAAGTGGAGGAAAATGTTAAGTATTTACCAGATAAAGAGAAACTTCGCAGTGCAGTGTTTATGCCATGCTTTTCTACTTCCACACCAAATAACTCAATATTGTCAGTAAAGACATTTAAAACTTACGAGTCAGAAGACAGTGAAAGTAACACTATAATTGATTCAGACGGTTCTATGAATATTAGGAAAGGTAGCCGTTCTCCTCCAATTCTTTCTGGAGGCGTATCGGTAGAAGATCATTTACCTCAAGTAGGAAATAATCACGAAGGTAATCAATCACTAAAATCTAAGCAGAGTGAAACATATGTCGTAACAGGAAAACAAAGTTCTTCCTCGGCTTGGGTAGTAGATATGTCTAGTAATCTGGAAGCAGAGGACAACTCGACAGCAAAAGGTAAATCGTCCGATGAATCAGTAAATGAAAAAAAGAATATATTTTCTATGTACATAGATCTAAGTGACAATTCGACCTTGAGAGATATGCCCTCCAGACTATCTGCTTCCATGAAAAGGAGTACTGCTAATGTCGAAAATAAGTTGGCTCCACAAAAATCTAAAATTACAGAAAAAAGCCCAAGAGACAAAGACTCGATATTTGAGAAATATGAAGCTTTGTGTGAAGACCCGAATATAAGTATTTCTGAAATAATCGCAATTCCAGCAAAAAACGAAGACGTTGCAAAGAACGGTGTAGATCCATGTGCAGAAAAGACGCGAAAAGTAAACCAGTTGCAAACGCTAGAAGAGGTTGAGAAAATACCTTCCCCTAAAGAGCCTTTAGCCAATTCCCAAGATAGTAGCTTTGTGAAACTTTCAGACTTAGATAAACCAGTCCAGAAAACAGATATGTTGGTCTCTATCGAAAGTAAAGGAGTTGATGTACGAATGACAAGATCTATTCCTGATTGGGGTGAACAAGGATTTTCTACGAACTCGAGATCAATAGAAGTTATTACTTCTTTTCATTCAGAGAATGCTCTAAGTTTGAACAGACTATTTCCTCACTTAAAAAATGAATTCAGTAGAAGCATGCCTGGTTCTCTATCGAGTAGGACTCGGTCACCATTAAGGTTAGGTACATCCAGTACGCTTGGTGATGGTGATGAGCAAGGGTCTGATATGTCTGAAATAAGTAGTATGCAAAGCAGCAACTGTCGCTCAGGATTTGGTAAGTTTAAAAAAGTAAGCTTGCCTATAAGATAGAATGTACAATTACAATTTTACTAACCTTTGAATGTCTTTTTAGGGAACAGTACTACAGACAGTCAGACTTCGAATTTAATTGAGAACTGTACTTCCCGTCTCGGACAAGACTTACTAAGAATGTTTCTTGAAGAAATCGCGCCAGATGTCATCGTGGAAGTGTCAGGAAAACGATTCAAAGCGCATAAATGTATATTGTCATCCAGGTGAAGAGATATTTGTAGTTTGTTAAAAGAAGTTTTACCGTAATTATATGTATACCTATTGAATTTCTCGTTCGTCACCCGCTTTTTCTTTTTCAGATGTCAATACTTTGCCGGTATATTGAGTGGCGGCTGGGTGGAAAGCTTGGGGAATGTCATCGTGCTACCACCGTGAGTGTCTTATTTCTTAAATACATTCGTGATAGATGTAATATACCTATGTCGGTTCTCAAGTGAACTGTAGTATCGTCCGTTAACTTTACCATACACAACTTTTTTGATGCTATGTTTATATCTCAGGTCGTATTGGAGTCAAAAGTAATTATAATTTGTACCTTTTTTTACTTTTCTTTTAATCATAAAGTATCTTGGTAGTTGGGTTCTATTCTTCTTTGTACGGTTTTAGGTTTTCATACAATGTGGTTTATTTCGCATTGTGTCACATATACTCTGGTCTTGCGACAATTCCGGATTCGGTGAGCATCGTGGAATTGGCAACGATCGCCGATATGTTGGGCTTAGAGGGTCTTAAGGAAGCCATAATGTTTACTCTCAAAGCTAAATATTGCCATCATTTTCATAAGGTGAGTTTATTGTTTCATCCCTTTACAGTAGTACAAGTATATTTGGCTTATTTATTATAACCTTATTACTGGTATATGTTAAGGATTGTTAGCTTAGTTACAAGTTAACATTTTCACATTTCAGCCGTGCGCTGTGTGCATAGTCGGTGTGTTGGAATGCTTCCCATTGTCTGCGGTTTATGGTTTAGATGATTTATATCACAAATGTATTAAATGGATCACAAAACACTTTACAAAAGTATGGCCAACCAAGGCGTTCGCGACGTTACCTACGGACCTCTTGGATAAGTGCTTCCAGCATCACACCGTGAATCTAACCGTGGACAACGTGGTGGATACTGTGTACGGATGCGGGATCACTACTGCATCTTTACAAAACTCTAAATGGTCTGAAGCCGTAGCACGGATGTGCCGCAGGCTCATAAGCGTGGCAGCTCACTTCGCGGGCCCAAGGCTTCTCGCTGTTTACCAAGCCATCCCTCCATTACCAAACGAAGCGCCTCAGGCCGCCAAGCAAGCTCTAGACGATTTTCTCGCGGCTGCTATTGAATGGGCACCTCCGGACGAAGTCTGTCGTGCATATGGTTTTCTTTCAGCGCTCCTCAAAGAAATGCGCAATAATCAGTACTCGAAACCTGATTTGATTAGTAACGGTACTGAAAACCGTAAATCTTTTGGCCAAAATACCTTGGTGTACTCGCAAGCGGGCAACTGGCGAATGCAGTGTGAGGGTGCGCTAGTGCGGGCGTCGCCCAGAGTTGTTACCACGCAAGCGTTTAAGGAGTTGCCATCGGAGTTACGTAAAAGGCTGCGAGAGCTCGGTTGTATTAAATACGGCGCGCACGCGTTGCCTATATCCTCCCCTACACATCAGCAAGAGAGAAAAGTCAAAAGTACGACTGTTGCGAAAAACAAGTCATTTAGTTCATCGCCCCGTAATATTGATATTGCTCACGTGCGTGCTTTGTTTGTGCCTTACTCGCCAAAGCCGATGTACCCGGTCGGATCTGTGGATACTCTTAAGAGTAACAATGATATCCGTGATAGCAAGAAGTCTATTGTCTCAACAAATCCACCAAAGGTAAGGACGACGAAAGCGCAGGAGGAGCGCGCCAAGTATAATAAAATAAAGAACACTAAATCACAGGACAAGCTAAATACTAAAGCTAGCTCAGCACGAGCTCCATCGTTCGAGAGGACGAAACCAAGATATTTAGAAATTAAAAGCAAAGACAAGAAAACATCTGTTGTTAACAAACACCTGCCGAAAATTGAGTCGTCAAGTGAATCGTCTCGTAACTCAAGCCCTATACATTTGAGAAACTTACGGTCGAGTCCTCAGAAGGGGCGGCGCGGGGAGGTGGTCCCGCAGACCATGTCGCAGGACAGCCTCGCCACCAGCTCGCGGCCACGCACCGCCGAGCCGTCAACGGACTCGCTCAGCGAATCGCAAACGAGTAACAGATATGCTACCTACACGAAGACGAAGCATACCAAAGGCTCTGTCGACTGTTAGTATGTTTTATAATATATACCATTGACCTAGATTCTACTACCACTTATATGGTTCGGAACCCTGGTCGATACCATGGACTCGGAATACCCACTATATTCGTAGTCGTAGTAGTCTTAATAGATGTGGTTCTATAATAATAAGTCGTTACTTTTATTAAATAGCTATCTTTTTTACTAAATATTTGACCTCCGTTAGCGGAGGAATTGCCTTAACAGTTTTCTGTCGGCAGTCAAAGGCTTAATGAAATATTTCGAATAAAAATTTGGGCTAAGTGTAATAATAAAAAACTTATGTTCTTACAGCGAACAAAACATACAAAAGTGTTGAACCTACAACTGCTATTGCAAATTCAAATAAAATTAAAACGAAGATACCGGTGTATTTGAACCACACAGCTAAGTCCAAGGGGCTTGAAAACCGGTTCTCTAAAGAGCAACCAAAGTTCAGTAAGCAGTTCCCCAGGAACAACGTGGCTCCCACTCGGCCACCCCAGGATCGCAAAGTCCCTGGTTCTTTGATGAATGCGACTAAGTCAAGCTCAGCGAAGGTTGTGCCGAAGGTATGTAACGTTTTGTGTGACATCACGATGATTTAGCCTCACACATACTATAAAATTAATTGTTCATTGCAGGTAGTGAAAGAGAAGGAGCTACCCAAGAATAACTTGTCTAGGAGTCAGAGGAGTGGTCAGACCAGCCGGCACCAGCAACCACATCAGCACGAGGAGAAAGAGCCTCCCGTCAGGGACATCCCCGTCATGGAGCGCTCCGGCACATTCTTAAAGGATGAACCCACTTTCGGAGATAAACTAACCAATTTAGATATATCTCAATGAACACCTACAACGTAGTTAATTAGCTACTAATTGAGTAGAGTAATCTATATCTTAAAACTTCCAAAACTAAGTTTTATTCATAAATCATCAGCAAACTCAAACTATGAATGCTTTATCAACTTATTCGAACAAGAATTGAGTAGACAAACTGTTCTATAGCTAAAATAGGTTTGCAACTTTATGGATAAGACGGTCTTTACATGTTTCATTTCAAACAACAGCTTCTTATATATTTCGTTGAGCTTTAAATGTAAAACCGTTGTAGGTACAACTGAGGTATATTGTACATAACAATTTTGAATAGCAATTTATATATCTATGCGGCATCCTAAAACTTGAAGCGACGGAGTATCAACATCATTCATCTGTTATTGGGTAAGCAAATTATCTTTATTTACTTTTGATTAAGAATACAGTAATGAGGAAACTAGTAATAATAAGTCAGTATTAATAAATTATCTGTTTGGGGATTTATAGTTCGAGCGATGCAAAAATATTCCTAATCGCTTAAGGGAAATATCAAATTAATTTTGTTTAACGCTTTGCGTAAGTAACATGTCGGTTCAAAATTTGTGTTCCTCGTCAAACAGTTACTTGAGCCGCTGCTAAACGTATTAATCAAATTCAATTCAAATAATAACTGAGACATACGAAACAGGCGATGCGCCAACGGCCTTCCAGAATAAATTTGGGCCAAATCTAGTGACTGATAGTTTATTGACATTGGCTGTGTCTTAAATCCCCATAAAAAATCAGTTATATAATATAGTAAAAAATATAATCTCTATCTGGTTCTAAACATATTAAATATATTTTCTAAACATATTTTGACTGTGTATTTAAATTTCTACGGCAGTTAGTTTTGTGTACTTGCTATAGGATTACCACAGGTGTATTAAATAAACTGGTTTGAATTGCCAAGAGTTGAAAAGTTTTAATTTAGAATTCAGAGGTTACGAATTTCTCATCAGTAGAATAGTCTGTAGTTCTGTCTGTTCTTCTATAGTTAAGGGCTGATTTTTAAATGGTCAGATAAAAGTTACCAGGCGAATAATTATGATTGTGTTGCTGTCGCGTCAGAATGTTTGTATAAGACAGTGACGGCAACAATCTTATTCCTCATATAAAATTTATCTGAGTATTGGAAAAATCAGCATCAGTCATCAATCAAACAAAATAAATATATAATGGAATTTCTATTTTCAGGTAGCAGTTCGGTAATTACCATAAAAACTATTGTAATTCGCAATGCGTGTTAATACATAAATGGACACATGATATGGAGACTGGCATCGCTAGAAATTGTTTATGTAATAAATTTACAAACAGAAATAAGTAATGTGGTGTTCGGTGAATTTTTCAATAAATACTGGCAAGTATAATTGTAACACTATTTGTAAAAATACAATTTACCACTTTTTAAATCATCTTATCCCCTCAGCTGTGGAACGGACTCCAGGAGTCCTCTGTCAAAATGGGCGGATCTGTGTACAGCGCTCCTGGAGTCCGCTGCGACCCGTCGCTTTATTTTATCGTTTAATGACGTAAATCTGTACCTTTCCTGCTCTAACTTGCACGAAGTGTATGAAAAAGAACAAGAACTATGCATAAGTTCACATTTTAAGTCTCTAGAACGCACTTGTGACAGATACTAGACGTAAAAAAAGTAGTCTCCTAAATGAGGCGTTTTTTTAAAGCTTGTTTCTGTAAAAAAAATGTATGGCGAGTAGTGTTTATTTTTACTAATTAATGTGAAGTCACATGTATATAAGTGAAGAAAATTAAAGTTTAAAAAAATAATTGTTTATTTTTGCTATTGTAACGACTTTTGTACCAAACTGGGAAAATAGTAGCTCAACCGATTTCAAATAAGGATTAATTATACATTACAAATTGAAACTGGACCAGTACATTTTTTTATGTTAGTTTATTTCTTTGCGATTCAAATATATAAGCTTTATATAAGCTTCTATACAAAAGGTTTGAGATATTGTAATTTTAAACACACGCGCCGGTATCGCGCGGACCACCCACGAAGTGCTTACACAGATCCACCGAATCGCGAAAAATGGCCGCCACAGCTTGAGGGGATATAGTTGAATTTGAATAAATGGAAATGGCTAAAAAGGTAATTAACTGTATAATTATTTTTCAGACTTAAATTCTCATGTCTGGTGAAAAACAAAACCAGAAAAATGAGTTGGTACATCAGCCATGGACCGGGCTCTCCTTATCAATAAATTGTAAGTACCAAATTTGAATCTTCATAAGTACTAGTAGAATTGGAAATACAATTTTAATTCTCTTTACACTAAAACACGTAGAGAAAAAGGAGTACTTACCTATTTAGTAAACAGTAGCTGAAGGATAAATGAAAGCATAAATAAAAAAATAAAGTCTTATAATGTTCAAAGAAATATGCTTAAATAGAGTACAGTAACTTAATCGATACCTACTATAAAAACTTCGAAATTATATGAGTTTTAGTAGCCTATAATAAAATAAATCCATAATTACTTACATATCGATAGCAAACTAAAATTATTATAGATGAAAGATATATGAAGAACTTTCGTGATGATAATAGAACTGTTAATATTGTTATTTGTAGTAATTCAACTGTTTTGTCTTTCCTCAACAGGTTAAAGAGCTTCTTAGTTCAACAACGGAAAAGATTGATTTTGTCAGTCTTCGTCATGGGTCCAGTCAGCTTATCTTATATATTATAAACAACATAGGACTAGGACCTGTTTCGTGTAGGCATTCAACCTTTAATTGTATTGCGAAAATAGTGTATTATTTTTTTCAGTAACCGTACTAATGTACTGGAATTACTTCGTCTACACGTATATTCTATTCTGTGATAGTATTCGCGCAAAGTGCTGCCCTCACTTACGCGAATACCACAACCAGAGCATAGGCAATAGATTGCATTCAAAAATAATCAGTGTTTAGATAGTAGCTGTATAAAAGAAAACGAAGTATCTTAACAAAGGAAGTTTTAACAATAAAATATCTTGATGTTAATATTTTAGAATTTGACATTCCATAATTTAATTAGGGGTGATTGATACATTATGTTAAAAGTAGATAAATATTTTTCACCCATATTGAAACTGATGTTGAGGCGAGCATTCGATAATCATATTAATTTCTTGTAGATTTCTAGTCTGTTACAAAAAACATTCAAACATGTATCCCAATTTTATAGTAAGTATGTATCGATTAATACTTACAAGATTATGAAAGGTTTTTATAATGTGGGGGTCCAAGTAAATATCTGTCATTTTAAAAACAAAAAGCAAATGTGAAAACGTGTTTGTGGACAAAGTTGTGGGTTCAACTAGTATCATTTATTGATATGACGTTAGTATTCCCTACCACATTCTTTAGTCGTACTCCTTTTTATTCATACACGTTATTAAAGTGATTACTTTTAAAATTTTCTTCATATACTAAATTATATCTAAATCTCCATTGATTATCGCACGTTCGTCTCAACGTCGTATCTACGAGTATAAGTAATAAAATTAAATGATATAATCACTGCTTTGCTACCTACTCGTAAAAATGATTTGATGCCTAGCTGGTTCTAGAATAAAATAAAATGAAGTAGCGATTATTAAAATTTAAATTTCGTTGCCATTTAAATTATTAATTTATTTAGTAGATGTAAGTTTTATTTATGTGTTAATACATACTTATAATTGTGCGCATATATCTATTTTAATTTTCGTGTAAATGTATATAACGCATGTCAGATATTTTTCTAATTACAATGTACTTACCGTTACGTACTTATTGCGCGTTTTATCCGGATCCGATATTTACAGGATATAAAAACGAATGATTTCTTCCATCGATATTGTTCGTTTATTAGGTATAACTTAAAAAAATACTCAGATGTGTTATTGATGGGCTTTTATTGATGAGATAGATATATTTACAAAATTTCTAAAATGCCTCATTACTCGATTCACAGCTTGTCCCTAGTATTATTTATTTTCATAATTTCTTAATCTGTCTGTCTATGAAATAGTTTCCACAGAGACTTGTGTATTTAAATCAACGACGTATTAAAAATTAAAAAATCAAAGATAGGAAGACGTAACTTGGTTTTTAAAGCTGTTAGAATTGTTTCGCTATCTCAATGGTTTGTGCTACTACATGTTATATGGAAGAAGTGACAATTTATCCCCCAGTTAAATTAACCGATACTTAACCAGAGGCCAGGCCTTTACATCTTATCAAAGTTATAATTTTTCGGGCGTTGATCGCAAAGAAAATTATTATCTAAACGATAAGGATAATAAAATAGTGAATTGAGAATGTTTTCTTACTCAAATTCAAATTTCTACTTTGCAATACTAGTCTATTCAATTGGTAGTTTTACTTGGGAAGTTTACTGGGAGTTTTCAAAATTGGCAACTTCTGGATCATCAGGCACAAAGCGCAGAGGTAATGGCGCAAAATTTTAAGTGTCGATCGCAATCAAATTTAATATACAGATGGAAAACAAATGAATTAAAAAAATAACTTGACATTTTCAAAAATAAAAATTTTTCAGAATAAAAATCTACCATTCACATCTGTCAATTTTCAACACTCCCGGAAAACGTTCCAGGTTAACATTCCACTTTTCAGTCAAACGACAAGATTATAATTAAAATACGTATTCAAAATATATCTTTGTCTTATTTTATTGATAGATTAATTACTATTACATTTTGGTGTCTTTAATTCTTAATTGTTGATGAGGTTGATCCGAAGTAATTATTATACATTTTATATTTATTTTTTTATAATTGTGATAAGTTATTGTTGTGGTAATTTTACTTGTTTCTTGTGTAATAATATAATATTATTTATGATTGCAGTGGTCTCGTTGAGGACGAAATATGACTAATTTTGAATGAATTTAATTTTACAGAAAATATATAAATATAATGATTTCTACTAATTAAATTAAAAAATTACATTCAGTATGAAATTAATGCATTTTTTAAGAAATTTTTATTTTTGGAAAGTTACTACTCATAATTATAGTGGTTTGCATTTTTATCAAGTGAACGTCTTTCGACCTATGTATTTTATTACAATTATTATAGGAGACGGGACCACTAGACTTGGATGAATGCATGTAAGGGAAAGGTTTTTAGGACAAGTTATCTGATTAATGTATTATTTAACTAGTAAGCTATACATAATTTTAATTGTTTCACTCTGAAAATGATCTCAATGATGCACAGTATTCAATATTAATTTTGTTGGTTTCCATCAGCCGGTTTATTTCTTAAGAAATATTGTATTGTATATTTAAGATTTCTATATTCTTACTTAAGGCCTAATTTAGTGTCCAGACATTGTTTAATTGTTATAATTTATTGTAAATATTTTTGATCTAGTTTTTATGTTTTTATAGAGCGATATTATCTATCACAAAGTGCACCGTTTGTATAAATTCTGTCTGTAAACTTTTATACCTATTTTAATCAGTGAATGCATATATATATTTATTACTGTAACAGTTGGTAAAACAATAAATTATTTAAAAATACGTTATTAAACTTGTGCAATACTCATGGTTTTTTATTACCTTGCACCTTTTTTATGGGACGGGCTCTTAGACACCCTCTACATCGAGTAGTTAAACGGCGTTGCCGGTCTTTTGGGGTTAGGCTCAGGCAAATAAAGTAAATACTGAAAAAATAAACTATCAATATACCTGCTGCTAGTTTAAATATGAACCCCCTTTTTCTACTCCTTACGGAGATGTAGCTTCCATCATCAGCTCAGTGGCGGGATAAGTCCGTTAGGGTAAAAGGGCTAGCAACCACATTGGAACCACTGCCTAACCTAACTTAGGTACACAATTACACAAATTGTTAACGATAAGCATTTCACTTTATTTGCATATCTCATTCGTATTCAATGTAGCGGCCTGTCCTGGCTGGACAGAGCGGCGTGTCCGTCACTTCTCGTCAAAGAATAGGTATAGGGAAACTTCTCGAGTAGCAGCCTAATGCGATCGAATATAGAAGTGACACGATCCGCGAGTAGGTATCTACTTTGTACATAAGTTAATCTTTACTTATTAGGTACCAATGAGTGATTATTATATTTTAGGGTAGGTATTTAATTAAATATTCTGTGCATTAATTCGGAGACTTCTCATTTTTTTTTCGGTGTTTCTTCTCACAGTAGCTTTAGTAGGTAAATGCTGGCCTCCTCTTAATGTCAACAACTTCAAATCAAGTGCAATCTAAGTAGGTACGGAAATAAACAATAGTTTCATTTCGACGACTTTATTAAGTATGTAAGTGTTGCACAAATCGCTCAAATATATCTCTAATATCATAAGTGAGAATTCCCTATCGTCAAGGTAAATTAAGGTTAAGTTTCTGTGATCGTTTTCTTGATCCAGCATCAGATCAGATTTTGGTAAGCATCTACAAATAATAATACACTATCAGGTTTAGGGTTTGGTGAATTTAAACCTTATCAAAGAAAAGCGCCAATGTTATCAAAGCGCATGACTGAAAACTGAAACCAAACTGTCTCCATCTGACTGTCGGTGCCGCAGGTGTCAATCTGGGGCGCTGATCACTTAGCATCTGGTGACAAGAGAGCTCGTTTATCTCATATTCCATAAAAAAATACTTACAGTAGGTGGGTACCCTCCGTCTTCAGATGAGTAGGTAGGCACCAACCCTAATACCTACCTACCTACTGCATTAAAACGGGAACGGGGTTTTAAGGAAAATTAAAGTATTTGTTTGTAGAAAAAGCTTTTTACCTTATTAATAGGTATGTAGGTTTTTCCATTTCATGTTGTAGCTGTAAAAATTTCATGTTGTCGCGGTTAAAAATACTTATGATGGCTTATTCGAAATACTTAAGACATTATAGGTACTTAGCGTATTTTGAAAAAAATGCCAAATGTCCAAAAGTATCAATTGTCTGTGCCCACGTCACATGTAGGTACTCACATAAATGTCACACTTCATATCATCTTCATATTATTTTTAGACTTCAGGTTAACAGAATAATTAAATTCAAAAATTAAGAAAAACTAACTGAAATGATAGAAAAACTAATTTAAAATGTTTCTTACATCGTATTTGTATAGGATCTTTTGGTAAGTGTCTAAATCAAACGAATATTTCTGAACAATTTGTTGTTAAAAATTCGTACAAAATGGCATACATGGACAAAACAACATTTAACAGCCATGTTTCAAACCATAATAACATGTGCCTGCGGCACGCACTCGTAACGCGTAAGTGTGCATTATCCTCTAGAGATATCTAATAAAGGCCTTCTAAGAAGTCAAAGCCAAATCAACCAAGGATATTTGTAAATAATTGGTAAAAGTCATCTGCTGGGCACCCAAGTATAGCGTCGTATCGGTTTATAGATAATATTTTAAACAAGTACCTTGGTTAGTGTAAATGACAGTGTGTTCCTAGACCTAATAAAATACTGTAAAGCTATCCAACTTTTCAAAAGTGGAGACACTAAAAAACCATTATAATATAAAGCCCAATTCTGTCGGTTAATAGCAAAGTGTAAGATCAAGATAGCTGGCATCAGTATAGCCAAGAACAGGAAGAAGAAAAAATGTAGGCGGAAAGTTTCGCACCCCTCTCAAGGATCCCCCAGCTGCAAATTGTGTGGTAATTCAAGTGTGGGAGAGCCATGTATAAATGCGTCGGCTCGACCGGACTGGTACCTACTTACTACGGCCTCACAGAAAACCGGTATGAAACAACTACAGTGCAGTGTTGTGTTTCGCCGTGTGAGTGAAGTTACCGGAGGCCTATTCCTCCCTCCCCCACCACCCGCAATCCCGAAGCCCCAAAAGGTCGGCAACGCACTAATTACTCCTGTTGCGGGTGTCAATGGGCGGCTGATTGCCGTCAGGTAATCCGTCTGCTCGTTTGCCGACCTATCACATATGAAATAAAAAGAACCGCCTACCTACTGGTTTCCTGCATCTGTGTTGTTCTACTCACCATATTATATATCCCAAGACTTTTCACTTTCTGGCTAAAGAGTATCTGGTAGAGTGGAACCAGTCTACTTTCGAGACCATTCGTGAGCTACCTAAGATGTGATGTGATGTTCGTTTATATCGTACACTTTTGTCAGAGTGGTCGTGGTCATGTAATGTCCTTGTTTGCTGCCTTTGCGATGTGATGTAGATGAAGCTAAGTGTTTAAAAGGTCCATTTTAGGCCCTTACCTACTCCGCTCAGCTATTTTTGATAGGTCTTTATTAATATTTTCAATGGCTTCCGATAGTAGATTCCATAGAGCTTTCGTGTAGATTCGAAGATCATCGTCATAAAGGTGATAGGAAGGTAGGAAATTATTAGAGATTAAATTAATAAATACCGAATGGTACATCACCAATGGTCGTATCGCACCACGACGAACATTTAGCGTCAATTCGAAACCGTTGCGAACGCCCGCACAGGTTACTGCAAAACCAGTAAATGGCCGTTGGAGATACATTAAGGCCGGGCGTGATCACTTCCTTGAGGATTCTTCGGTGTTCAGCCCAAGCACCGCCACCGTGTTGCGTCTTGTGCTCCTCTGTGTCCACGTAATATAAAGAGTTATGATTAAAAAAACAACACCGTGTGTCATTTTGTACGTATTTCCTTTAGGTACACGTAGATAAGCTAAGATACCATGTTGCCACCGGTTTAATAATGAGTAGGTATATAAATATGTATAAAATCACATACTCGTACTATTTGTGCATACTTACCTATAGACGCATACCTAAGTACTTGATTTTTTTAATAAATGTATTTGCTACCTTTTTAGGGGAAACGCAGAAGAGCGTCAGGATTTGATTTTGAAGATCACTGGATCATTTGGCAAATATCAATTATGGCTTGCTTTTATTATATTTTTAACAAAGTTCCCCATCGCATTTAATCAGCTTGCCATTATATTCCTTGCCCCTCCCGCTACTTTTGTTTGCGAGACTACTGGGATAAAGAATGATTGCCCTTGCGACAAACCAATATATGATACAGGAACATTTTCTAATACAATGGTCATGGAATTCCATTTAATCT